CACGGTGGTGGCGAATGACTTGCTGACGCTAGTGCTTTCCGGCGGGGTGGGCTGCATCCTGCTTACGGCCAGACGGGCACCGGGAAGACCTCACGATGGAGAGCGTCGAGCGGAGCATCGCACGGGACCTTTTTGACCAGGCGCGTATCGTCGGTCAACGGTTCGTTGCTGCACAGGGCGAGAACATCCCACGGGCGACATCTTCGAGTTTCAGGTTTCGTTCTTGGAGTTGCTCGGAAACCCGCTGGCGATCTGCTGGAGGAGACAGAAGAGGTCGATGTACAGGGAAACAGGGTCCTCTCTGAAGTGGCCGTTCGTGAGGATAAGGTTTGTGCGATCATTGATTTTGTTCGCCAGTGCTGAATTCGGAATCTGTCCAGGTTGGCAATGTGCGACCGAATGTCACCTATTCGTCTGTGCGTTCTTCGGAAGAGCTTGAAAGCCTCATCAATAAGGCTTTGTCACATCGACGGTCAAGCGCTACTCAACGAAATGCTAAGAGCAGCCGTAGTCACGCTCTGCTCAGCATCTCGATCAAAAATACGCTCTTGCCGTACGCAGATGAGGGCCAGCTGGTCCTGGTGGAGTGATTCTTCCACAAAACAGCAGACGTTCGCCTTCTGACTGCTTCTCGCAGCCTGGCAGGTAGCGAGCGCTACGAGGATTCGAAAGATCACGACAAGCAACGCCGCGATGAAGCGAAAGAGAACAACAAGAGTCTGATGAACCTCAAGGAATGCGTCCGGGCGAAGGCGAAGATGGCGGCAGAAGATGGCTTCGTGCACATACCCTGGCGCTCAAACAAGCTGACCATGCTATTGAAGGTTCGGGTGCTCGTTCGGTACTAGAAGAACTCGCAACTCACCACCCTACAGCCCATATTCGACATCGAGAGTCGTCAGCTCTCCAAAGCGGTCATCATTGCCCATGTCTCTCCACACATCCAAGACACCACTCATTCGTATGCCTTCGATGATGCTCAAAACAACGACTGAATCTGTCAGCAGAACCACACCCTCTCGTATGCTGCGCCTTTCAAGACGGTGCCGCCCAAACCTCGTGGTGCTCCCCGCTTCGACAAGGAGGACCCCCGGACCTGGGACCACCAGAAGACGATCGATTGGCTCGCAGAGCAATTCGACCAGGGACCGTCGACCCGCTTAAGATCTGCCCCGTCGGTTCGACCGCGAAGAACCTCGGGATGTTGTACACACCCGAATTCGTCGAGCGCTGTCTTGCAGCGCGCCACGCCGAATCATGCAGCGCGGAGGACCTCAAGATGAAGGCAGTCCATGTGATCGGCAACTTGTTCTACTTGATCTTGACCGCAAAGACGAGGAAGCGGAACGAGGTGATGAAGAGTCGTAGGAGGCTAGTCATGGAAGACACATACGGTGCGTGGCTTCGCTTGTTTTCTAGTGCCTCTAGCTGATTGGACGACTGCAGGCGTCGCACCTCGCAAGGATCACGACGAAGACTACAACTCGGAAGAGTTCCTCGAAGCCCAGATCTACTATGGCATGTCGCATGCTTTGATTCGATTCGTTTCCATTGAACTCCTAGCGCAGGCACTGGTTGGCAAGACACTGTTATTGCTGCCTATGAAAAATCGAAGGCGGAGGGGACAGACTGGCATAATGTGGTCCACCCTAACACAGTCAAGGACCTGATAGACAGATTCCGCGAACATCAAGCTGCGACTGAAGCACAGTCAACGGTGTAGTTGTATATGGTGGCGGGATTGTAGGCTGTTCTGGGTGTCTTCGATGGAATGTACATGTAATTTGGTGGCATGGTGCCTTGCAAGACTCGGTTGCGTATGGGGAGATATCCGAATTACATGCAGAGCCATGTCCTCTGTTTTGGAGCCCAGACACTCGACATGGGATAACGACAATGGATGCGTTCCCTCTTTCCATCATCCGAGGTACCGACCATGTGTTCAGGGCCAACGCCGTTCTCGACCCAGTCGACCAAGGCCAGAAGCAGGTTGTGGGAGCTTGCATTGACGGCACTAGGCAAAACTTCGCCTGACTGCCCGAAGTTGGGAGACCCAAGACCTCCTGTGCAATGACCGAGCCCAGGCACGAGAAACAGACGGTAGAATGGATCCAGTGTGGACATATCTAACGTTTGCGACACAAGGTCGTACATGCGCTTAGAGTTTCCAGAGGCAATGAGCTGCAGTGTATGAGTGGACAGAGCGACTGTATAGGAATGGCGCGGTACGCACACCATCCATCCGGCCGTGGAATGTGAGAAATTTCCCACCCCGATCGCGAAACGCGGTCAAGTTGCCAGAAAACGTAGCGACGCCCCCAGGATTCACCGCATCCATGAGCCTGCCATGCTCTGGTCCGTAGGTGCCAAAATCGAATGCTGTATCATTGATCACAGCAAATAGAAACCAATCTCGAAGAGAACGAGGAACGGTCCCGCTGAGGACTATCCGTGCGTAGCGCATCTCCACCCCAGGGTCGACTCTCGGATAGATAAGCGTGCCGTTGTCGTAGAGCGGACTGTAGATCTTGTGTAGCACCTCGACTTGCTCGGGAGAGAGACAGGTTACATCTTCGGCTCGTGTGGAGCAAGCGAGTACATCCGGACGGAAGAGGCATGCATCGGGCTCGGTGATGATCCCGTCACGAATACCGTCTAGCATGTCGCACTGATGCAAGATCTCTTCAGCGACAAGTTTCCAATCCCGGGCGGACAGGAACGTAGGGGTCCCTGGGGCACCGATGTATCGACTAAGCATGCCAGACCAGTGGAGGAGATGATTGAAGTCAGTGGCGGGTGCACCGGCCAGGATTCCATCAAAGTCCTCTGGGTACATGAGGGCTTCCTGCGTTCCCTGTCGGCCGCCCGTCGAACATCCTAGGTAGAAGGCTTTGCGGTGCGGCTGGCCGTAGTATGCCTCGGTGATCTGCTTCCCGACCACAGCCTCCACGTGGATGGAGCGGTGAGCAAAGTCTTCGACGACCTCAGGGTTTCGGAAGAACGCCTCGCCGCTGTTGCCATCGTGCCCGTTGTTTGAGCCGACGGCGGCGAAGTGGAGCGCAGAGCCATATGCGAGATCTGCGTAGTTGATACCTGCGCTCGAGGCCTTTGGTGAGTATTCAGGAAGATACGGGCGAAGGAAGTGTATACATCCACCCAGCGCACCATTCCCGACGCCCAGAAAGCGGCCATACCATTCGTCAGGAAGCCATGCCTCGGCGCGGATCGACGATCCTTCGCTTGTTTGGGTAACGAATTGGACGCGACAGAGGGGTGTTGCTGTGCGCCCGGAGGAGTACGGACAGCTTTCGTGCGCCGGGATAGTACTTCCTGCTGGGAGGAAAGAAGCCTCCACGACGGTAGTGTTCTCTACTCGAAGAGTGTCTTTCAGGGCAGCACATCTGAGATTTTGGGTGCTCGACAGCCAGCTTGCAGCAAGCGCATTATTGGCGAGGAAACGCGTGAGGGATAGCACGGCAAGGCCAAGGTCCATCATGATGATAATGTCGGTGATGGTATCATGATTACAGTGACAGGATTGATCGATCCTCTTTCCTTGAGTCGGTTTCATGTGCCCGCCTTCTGTTGGAAATGCAGCGCTGAATCTGTTCCATCCAGACAAGTGACCGGGGAAGTCTCAGATGCCATGCTCTCAGGAATCCAGACTCTCTAAAGCCAATGTCGCAGAATCAACGCTTCGCGGAATTGATAAAAGTCCATCTCCCGGATTCAGGCCGAAGCGGCGGGCGAGGCAGAGCTTGTAGTGCTGCAAATGCCGGTGACAGATGGAAGCCGAGGGGCGAACGCGTTAGATACGAAAATAACAAGTCCTGAACTTGGAGCAACATGCCCGAGCACTTGGAGTCCCTATTCATTGCCGTCTCTGCTAGCATTTCTAGAACGCGGGCCAGCTTTCGCGCTACACCGTTTGAAGGTCGTCTCGCGTTACGGGTTGGCCCCAGGCTTCACTACCGGTGCTTTTGATGATGCCTCGTCTCTTCCGTCTCTACACAAGCTTGGCTCTTCCACACTGGCCATCAATCATCATCTCGGCCTGTCTCGAGGATGTTTCACTGCAGCATGGGATCTATCCCGCAGCCCTACGAGCACGGGAGAGGAGCAGGGCCACTGAAGAACAAAAAAAGTCGAAAAGGGACGCGTATATGCTGCGATGGTTTAATCGGGAACTCAATGAGACGATATCATCGAGAATGCACTCAAATCTGAGCCGAGCTGATTGGCCTGACTCGCCCAGATCATTTCATTGGAAGATTCAGGTCCTAGACCGTCGAGCAGCTAGCAGGCTGTGCTCGTTAGTCAGGCCTATATAACGCTCAATGTGAGGAGAGCCCTCGGGGGTCACCAATGCATCGTGACCGAGACATGTCACACTCACGACACTTCTCTGCCTCCCACCACCAGCACTCAAGCGCCCTATCCACCACTCTCGTTAACGACCATCATGCACGCTACTGCCCTCATGTTCATCTCCCTCCTCGGTCTCGCTCAGGCGCATCCCGTCCGAAGAGCCTTGACTGGTACGTCTCGATTCGATCTCGTATACGCCGCACCGTCGCTCATCCCGTCCCACAGACCCGCAAGTCCTCAACTTTGCCCTGACGCTAGGCGAGTTTGATTTCTCATCATGTCTACTCTCCGACTAACATCCGGCGCTAGAACACCTCGAGTCCGCCTTCTACGATCAAGTCCTCTCTCGTTTCTCGCCCGCCGACTTCTCTTCTGCTGGATTTCCAGACTGGGCACGTGGGCGATTCAAGCAGATTCAAGCGCACGAGGCCTCTCATGTCACCTTCCTCACCACTGCTCTGACGGCTGCTGGTGCTAAAGCAGTCGATAGCTGCCAGTACAACTTGTCAGTGGCGATTTGTTCGTATGCTGTCTCTAGACACTTCCTTCAACGTTTTGCACAGCGGTATCACCGATGTTTCTTCTGCGGTGGCTGTAAGCGCTAGTCTTGAGGCGGTGGGATCTGCTGCGTACACTGGCGCAGCTCAGTACATCAACGATAAGGCAAGCGTCCAAACTGCTCGGGACGCTACAGACTTGACCATCTGTCCACAGAACTATCTCACCGCCGCCGCGAGCATCCTTGGAACCGAGACGCGACACGCCGGTAGGTCCAGTCTATGATATCAGTCCTGATCACGCATGTGTACATACAGGTTGGATTGCTTCGGCGGTGCTACATGGCAGTGCCTGGGACACAGCTTATCAAACCGCCTTGTCGCCTAGTCAAGTATACCACATCGCGTCAACGTTCATCAAGTCGTGTCCCTCCTCAAACTCTGCCCTCCTCCCCTCGCTCGCTTCCTTCTCACCGCTCACTGTGACGAATGCTCAACCAGGCAAAACTGCGACCGTCAAGTTCTCTGCGCCGAAAGACTCGCCATCTCAACTGTTCGTCGCGTTCATATCTGGTGTCGGTGCTCCGCTGTTTGTTCCCGTGCGCGACGGCAAGGTCCAAGTCCCGAGTGCTTTGGCTCGGACTGGAACTGTGTTTTGTGTCATCACCAAGGATGGTGGGCGAGCTGACGACGATACGATTATTGCTGGGCCTGCTGTCGTGCAGTTTCCCTTTGGATCGTCGTAGATACAGTGTACCCAGTTGCGCGTTGTGTACGATTGCGATGAAGATGATCAGCAAGGATAACATGCATGATTGGCCACCTCGAGGATTGCTCGCTTGTAAGGACATCAGTGGAATACTGAAAGAAAATTGACAGGATGCAAGGAAACTAGCATATAGACATGTACATTGGAGACTATGGACTACAATCTCACGCAGAAGGGGAGAAAGCTTTTGAGTAGATGCCAGCTTGAGAAACATCCATATGCACCGGAAAATGATGTAGATAAACGTAATCGACAACCCTGTGATCGGTTACGCAACACGCTTATTCCTCGGCTCTTTCGGTGATGAGATGACATCTTCGACATCCTCTTGTTTCGTCTTACTTATTCCTCGGCCTTTTCGGTGATGGGATGACATCTTTTTCGACATCCTCTTGTTTCGTCTTACATATTACCCGAAGAGTAGAGAGGACGGTATGGCCTGAACACGAGGGGCGGGTTTCCAACTGGAGTGCTTCCTCCCGGTTTGATCCTCGCCAGCGCTCTCCTTGACGCGGCGCCTTTTTGGAGGTCGTGACCGTAAAGCAATATTCGAAGCTGGTCCACACTCAGTAAAGCTGGTGCAGGTAATACTCTGCGAGCTTGTCGCTGCAAAAGACTAGCATCCCTGCACGAGAAGGGATTGAGAGTGATGTCCGTGTCATGGGCTACATGGTTGCGTTATAGTCCAATAATTCAGGCTTCAGTCTGATGGTCTCCCCGGATGGTCGCCGACAGACATCATCAATCCGGATTATTGACTTGGCCCTCACCGAAAGAGACTCTGTGTTCTCCAACCGTCACAAGCCAAGTTGATGCAAGCCCCTGCGAATCGAGGCATGATAATCTCTGGAGGAAATCGCCGTCCTGATGTCGTGGTAGTGAACGCGCGAGCACCCAACGCCGGAGATGCTTATTATGGGTGCAGGCAGGATTCCTTCACTTTGTGCCCCGCCCAACCTATTTTTACTCATCGATATTTTCGATCTCGGATGGATGATGCGAAGAAAGTCGAAAAATAAAAACGAATAATCACTACCACTGAAATTTTCTAAAATCCGCAGACATCGATTCTGGTGGTCCAGGCTGAGAATCTCAAAGCTGCGATGGCTGAGTCGCTAGCGGCCTCGTCAGGATATGCAGGCTGTGGGGTTATGTCATCAGTTTCCATTCGCCTAAGCAGATCGCGGAAGAGTGTGTGTGCTATGCGCACCGAAACTCAACACTCTGCGTTTTTGGGCTTCTCAATCCCCTAAAACGACAATTGATTGTGCTCGGATGGCGCACTCTGACTGTGAAAACACATTCCCATTCTGTCCCACGATAAGGCGGCGAGTACGCGAACAGAACGATCTAGGGAGTGACCGCGATGTGTTTCCTTCCGTCATTCGCATCGAAGCTGGCTTGGGTCCTAGAGATTTTTTCTCCGGTCACAAGTACACAAAAAGTGGACGCCTCAGCTGACGTCGTAGGGACATTGCCCCCCATACAGTCAACCAGCCACGGTCGAGCGTTTCGAGAAGATCGGTTGTCTGTGCGCCGCACGATTGCAGCAGCCATTACGAAATTTACGGGAGGCATATGCCGATCAGCAACTCCATGCTCCCGCTCGTGTGCTTGAGAGCGGCGACATTTTGAATCCATCCCCGTAAATTTCACAGGGTGATGCAAGTTGACATGGGTTATCATCTGCAGAGAAAAATGCGAGCGGAACATGGGATATGCATCAATCGGGTATGGCGCTACGAGTCGCCGATAGGCCAGCGCTCGGGATGTTTCCATAGAATTCAACCCTCGAACGATGCGATCACGCAATTATCCAACACATCACAGTATTTATTCTCTAATTAGTCAACATTAATGTTCGGAATCGATCTGCGACTTCTCGGTACGAGCGGCAGCTTCCTGTCGATACTGCTTCCTGAGGAAGAGCAGAAGTCCGAGAACGTACAGCACTGGAATGAGCTGTGGTTGAAATCATGAGCGTGAGGATGGGCGAGGTCAGCGAGAAAACATACAGTGGACCACACGATCCACAACTTGTTAACGCCGGAAGCCACGAGCCCGAGACCTGAATAATATGTCCACTGCCTGCTGTACCCGTCGTGAATCTGGTACAGCCCCAGACCGATGATAGTGAGTCCCAGGAGAGCGTGGAAATAGTTCTGGATAGGCCGGCGGGTAGAGTTTTTCGGTTTTACGAAATGTATCACAGCGCCAAGAGCGACCTGGAAGAGGTAGAGCACGAGAAGGACGATGCCGGTTGTCTGTAAATCGCGGATGTTATCGGCAGCAGTGATAATTGGACAACGGGAGAATACCTTGTGCTGATCCAGTATCTTGGACCTGATTGGCCCGGCTGCAGCGAATCCCAGGGAGATGCCGACGATCACCGCAGGTCCAGCTTATCAAGCGCCAGTTCGCACCACTTGCCGTAAACATAATAAATGCTTACCGAGTCCGAGCTGCGCAATCCAGTGCCCAGTGTACCACGTCGGAGTGAACGTGCGCAGATAACGTGCGAGAAGAACACCGGAGGGTAGCAGCAGAGCAAATGCGATCACGCTTACAATGGCGTGCGCAATGATCATCCGTTGGGTCGAGGATAGCATGCTACTCCCAGAAGTTTGCGTCGACGAGCTCGATGTTGAGGATCCCGAGCTAGAGTTGAGTGCCTTGCTGAGATCGAGGTTCAAATTGCCATTTTCGATGTGCATCTGGAGAGTCGCCGACGGATCAGCAGTTCCTGGATTTGTATCACAAAAACCGAAGATTAGGTTTTGCGCAGTCGAGCTGTCGGACTGGCACAGCTCAGTACTCCAATCAAGAGGCGGGATGTCCGACATACGGGAATTGTGAAGACGAATTGTGGATTCCCGGAAGTCTGAGACACTTTCAGGAAAAAATTCGGCTGGTCGATTGTAACGGACGCACCGTGCTCAGTGCTGTGTCCAGCGTTGCGACGCGGGCGGGATTAGCAACGAGGGTGGGCATCTGTTCGGTCGGCGCAGACCGCTGGGAGATCGTAACCGAACCGTTCGAGTTCGGCCACATTATGACCATCGGCGATCCAGCCATGACTGTGCCAAAACCGCTGCGAGGGATGAGACTCGAGAGACAGGAGGACAGAGTAACTGACATTGCCATCCATCCTACGCTCTGCTTTCCCGTGCTCGCTAGCGTGTCTGACGATGCGAAGGGTCGGACTCGGAAGAAATATGTTCAAGGACGGGTAAACGCACATTGGGTTGTAGATCCATTGAGTACAGCAGAAATGCACATATTCTGGTAAGTTCGTTGAGGGCATGTTAAGCCTTCTAGAAAACTATGAGCTCACAGTTGTGCATGCAGAGTCGCCTGTCAACCCCGCGGTCGTTGTATTGTCCCGCGCGGTCATCCTGTTACTTGGCGACAAGGCCGCGGAGACTCCAGTTGCGACCGTGCATAGAGCAGGGAGTATGGCAAGAAAATGGGAGGAGAGAAACATGGTAAGGAGGTGAGGACGCGCTCTCGGGGTAATCGGCCTTTATATCTCGAGGCGGTGTCTCAGTAACCGGGGTTTGACATGCATATGACGCCAGGAAAGTGAATGGCATGCTAAGCGCGCTACTCCTTTCATCTTGGTCCGTTCTGCTCTTCTTAGATCATTGGTCAGACCCTTAGGGGACGGTGACAGGTAGAATCTCGTGTGAACTGCTGCGCACCTGGTAAGCTGTAGATCAAGCGCCGCACTTGTGGCGAAAACAGCGCCCATCCTCATCGTTGAGGGGGTGCAGAGACATCTCAGCCCAAGTGCTTTGGTCGTGTGTCTGACATGTGCTCTCGTTTGATTCAAGACAAAGTTGTAGGTATGTAGTGATTTCTGGCATGATAAGCCATCGCAAGCCCCACAGAATGTCACTTGGCAGTTCCTTTGAAGACGGCAGTGCCGTCTTTCGGCGATACGAGATTTGGCGGGTGGGTCGATATGCAAGCTCGAATATCGGAAGCAAGTTGAGACAAGACGGCAGTGTTAGTAAGTAGTTGGTAGTTACGGGTGACCCTCCCGAAAAGGCAATTGATCCTATCACTATTTGCTCCCCCAGTGGAGTTACCAAACAACACCGATTCTTCCGCTCTGCGATCGACGTCGTCACGGCGTGTTTCCCACCAATTTGTCCCACTCTCACTTCGTCCACCATCTCGACTGCATATAGCTCCAACACCTCCTCCAAAATCCATACATTCCAGATTCGTTTGCCTCCCGTGATTTGCCATGTCTGCCGATACCGCACCTAGTATGTCATGATCCCCAGCGCTCGCGCCCAGTGTGGGTCTCACTGACGCACTTGACTCAGCGCACTCCACCGGACAGTCTCCTGTCGTGCCACCCGCAGACCTCCGCCATGTGACGTCCGCGTCAGCCCTTGCTATCGACGGGGGACGGAGGATCTCCCAGCACCTCCAGCCGACACCGAGGAAAGGCTCTCGCTCGCCCTCATCCATTCCCTCCAGCCCTACATCTGTGTAAGTCGCTCTGTTCTCTCTTCCAGTAGTCTTGTCTTCTTCCCCGGCTTCCTACTCTCCCTTCTGAGTGGCATATACCCCGCGGTCCCTTCGTAGTGTCAGGGCCCCGGAAGCTCCGGATAAACTGGCACGGGCAGGAGTCTCCGGGTCCTCTGTGGCTTTGCTGCATGGTTGCCATATCTCCAAGGACCGGGACACCCGGATGCCGTTTCGGGTTCTTAAGCACACCTCGCGATGCGCGAGGTCGTGTGGACCACCTTTGACATGCTTCTCGCATCATACGTCTTTCTCACGCGTCCGGCAGTCATTCGTCCTCATCGGCCATATTTGAGCGGGACATCGAGCCTGCCCACCTCTCCCTTTCGCCGTCGCTCTCAGCCAAGAAAGACCCCCATCGGATGCCCCGCTCCAAGAACACGGAAACGATCGAACAGTCTGTGCCCTCTGTGCTCGATAGCGCAGCGTCGATCCTCACCTCCATGGTATCGACGGAGGAAGGCGACTCGATCGCCGTCGTCGCTCCAGCCCCCCTTCCTGCCGGCGGTCTTTTCGACCAGAATACTCTGGGCCGTCGGACAAGCGGTTTCATATCTCCGATCGGATCGAGGTCGCGCAGTCCGAGCCCTAGTCTGAACGCGGGCAACGCGACTTCCCTACTACTGAGCATCCCTCCGTCTTCCTCGCCGCCGGCTGCGACCAGTTCTCCGACGTCATCCTCCCCACCGAATTCCGCTCCTCCGACCGCGAGGCAGTTTTCCGATCCGGCGGAGGGTGTACTGGGAGCGACGAGACAGGCCCAGGCGAGCAAGCGGCTGTCGTTTGTGTCCTACACGGACCTACTCTCGTCCGTGCCGACTTCGACGCAGCCGCTCTCGGCGCTGACCTCGCCCTCCAACTTGCCGCAGCACATCTCCGGTGTGTCCCTTGCGTCTGCGCCGGAGACGCTCGCGGGCTCCGCGCACGGAGGGAGCGGGGCCCCGTCGCTGCGGAATTTCGTGTTCGGTGTGGACGAGGACCGCACGATTGATGATGTCGGTGGGGAGTGGGAGCGGCAGGGGCTCGGCAAGGGTCTGGAGGAGCGGCTGGAGGCGCTGCAAAGTCTAGGGATGGCGTGAAACAGTGAATTTGTATTTTTATCATGCCTCTATGTGGCCTGCTCTCATGATAATGTCTGTCCCATGCGGCTGTCTACTACTATGATCTCTCTACTTGCTATCTTACCTACCCGTAACGAACAATCAAGGCCTTCTCTCCTCGCTACTACGATGTCATAGAGAAATCGTGCAATCTGCAATCCGGCTGTCAGTGCGTAGACTTGGACCAGTCTCCCGTAACATCCGTGAAATAGCCCCAAAAGGAAACGCAATCATCCTCCCCGTTGCCCTGGACTGGACATGAGTCTAGTCCCACTGGCATCCCCGTTATAGACTGGGATCTTTCACATATGTACACACACACAACAAAGATTGATCCCATCCTATGTGCAACAATCTTCGAGTCACTAATCCTCGCGCCTCCGAAAATATGCCTGACTCACCCCATTGCCTTATCGAACGTCGAGCACGATCCATGTAATCTTCAGCTATAAATCTGTCTATGCATCCGAAAGCGGAATCGCACCGCCCGAGCTTCATCTGAACACTGATACATGGCCGCCCCCGCACTGAACATCGCACACTTGCAGACGCTGCTGGATGACTGGGATAAGGAGCAACCGCAGCCGCAGACACACGCCGCGTTCGGTGTACCCCTGGAGCAAGCTCGGTGCGCGCTGCGGGACGCGCTGAAGGACGTCGTGGTCGCGTTCCGCACGCGTCCGCCGCTGCCAAACGAGGCTGCCGAGAAGTTCCGCGCCGAAAGCGAGTTCTGTAGGGGCATCACGGCGGCGGGCGCGCAGCCGGGCGTGTTTGTCGCGCACGTTCCGAGCACGAAGGTGTGTGCTTGGGCGTCTCGGCCCAGCGGTTCTGATCTTTCCCGTGCAGTGGAATGGCGTGACGCTCTCGCATAAGACGTACAACGCTGATCTGGCGTTCGGTTCTGCAGTCGACAACGAGGAGGTGTATCAGCGGGCGGTTGTGGCCAACGACGTGCGTCTTTCTCTCACCCAAGCGTCCGCGTTTCAAGCTCATCTGACGACAGGTCCTGTCCATGGCCCTTTCCGGCGGTGTCGGTTGTGTGCTTGCTTATGGGCAGACTGGGAGCGGCAAGACGCATACGATGGAAGGCCTGGAGCACAGGATCGCGAGAGACCTCTTTGAGGAAGCGCGTGTTCTCGGGAAGCGGCTGGCTGAGGCGCATGCTGGAGAGGTCCCGGACGAGATCTTCGAGTTTCGCGTCACCTTCCTGGAGCTTCTGGGCAAGCGAGCGAGTGATTTGCTTGAAGTGACGACCGAGGACGAGAATGCCGTCAGGAGTGAGGTTGCAGTGCGGGAAGATACTGTGAGTTGCTATGTCTCCCCCGGCGATTTAAAAGTCCATGTGCTTCAGGTGGGAAATGTCAGACCAGCGTTGGTTTCGACCGCCGTGGGTTCTTCAGAGGAACTGGAGAATCTCATCAACAAGGCGCTCTCACATCGACGAACCAGTGCGACTCTGCGCAACGCTAAGAGCAGTCGGAGTCACGCCGTCCTGACCATTTCGATCAAGAACGTGTTACTCCCTTTTAGCGCTGAGGGTCAGCTCATCCTGGTCGAGTGCGTATCTTCCGCGGCTGTGGGGCTCTGTAGTGGGTATTGATCGACACGCAGCCTCGCGGGAAGCGAACGTTACGAAGATTCCAAAGAACACGATAAGCAGCGGATGAATGAAGTGCGGGAGAATAACTCCAGTTTGATGCATCTCAAAGAGTGCGTACGAGCCAAAGCTCGCATGTCAGCCGACGAAGGATTTGTGCATGTTCCCTGGCGCACGAACAAGCTGACCATGTTGCTCAAGGTGGGCTTCTATTCCGAGCTATTTGCGCGATCTCATTTCCCCAGCCCATTTTCGATATTGAATCGCGACAGCCATCGAGAGCGATTATCATTGCTCATGTCTCGCCTCATATTCAGGACAGCATTCATTCGTACGTCGTCAGTTCGAGCTGATCCTAGGCCATACTGAGGCTTGCCAGCACCAACACACTATCCTACGCTGCACCCTTCATGACAGCCTTACCCAAGGCCAAAGGGCCTGCGCCATACGACGTGTCGGATCCCAGAACATGGGATCACGAACAAACCGTCACGTGGCTGACCAGGCAGTTTGCGAAACCCGCACTTGCCAGTCGTCTTGCCGCGTGGAAAGTCAAGGAGAAAGCAGCGATACTGGCTGGCAAGAAACTGAAGCCACTCGAGCCACTGGCTTCAGAAGATGTAGACATCGGCGTGGATGTTCTCCAGATCTGTCCACCGGGATCGACCGCGAAAAATGTCGGGGCCTTGTATGCCGCAGAATTTGTTGAACGGTGCCTCCAGGCTCGGACGCGCCCCACAGTGGGTGGTGGTCAGGCTGCCTTTTCCAAGATGGCCATCGAGGTCTCTGGAGAGCTGTCGTACCTTTTCATGAAAGCCAAGACGAGGACTCGAAACGAGCTCATGAAGACCCGGAAGACTTGGAATGCAAAGGAAATTTATGGTATGTCAATCGTGGTTTCCTGGTCATTCTGATTGAAATTTCTCACAGGTTGAACCTGATATGAAGCGACGGGGATGTATTCACTTAGTTCCATGTAGTATAAAGATCAGAATCTTTCGGAATAAGCCAATGCAGAACTATTATTGTGCCGTTACGATACAGGTCCCTTGTTCACTGTTCACGCTATGCGGTAGTACTACGAATTTCGTCCAGGTTCTGAAGGTCGCATGGACGTCATTGTTTTCAAAGACACGGCGACTCTCTGCGTATTTGCACATTCGACTCGACGGTGATAATTATCTTTCACCATTCGGCCCGAGGCGGCAGTTCATGTTTCGCATATATTCAAACGCTGTAAGAACTACATTATAATTAGCTATCGATTCCTTGGGGATGTCACTGCAGTGAAGCTATGGTTCAGCTGATATTAATGAGACAAGGATGACGTGAAATATTTCCTTTGCACACAAGAAAAGACATCACAGTCGTCGCCACCAATGTGCGGAATCTAGTCGATACGTTTGAAGTAAGGTCACGCGGAGCCAGTGTGAATTGACGACGGGAAATGACAGTCCAGGCATATCGAGCTGTTCACTTTGCACCGCGATGGCAGCTGAAGATCCAGTGACTGACCAAATATTATCGAGGTTGTAGTAGGAGCCAACTGGGATGTTGGCCATGAATTGTTCGGATTGTGGCACTGTCTGGTCATTTTCACATCCTGACACTCTTTCCTATACATCTCGGTAAAATAGAATCTTTTGGCGATCCCTTGTACAAGACGATCAAGAATTCGTCCCTTTTGCAACTGCAACTTGAAAGTGCGGTGGCTTTGGTTGAGTTCGTGATAACAAGACCTCAGGAGTCCCTTTTCAAAATATCACCCAACTCACGGATATCGGCTGGGCCAGTCCGACAGCATCCCCCCACAACGATTCCGTTGAGCGTATCTCCGAGATCAATTCCCTTGATCATCGCCCCCACCCGCTGAGCCCAAGAAGGCCCTGATGTCACACTCTTGACGATCCAGGACTGCGTGGCTGGATCGTAGATGTCCCCGCCGTTCGGGTAGACCACCAGCCACGGCTTCTCGTCCCGTTCCCCCCGCCCCATCTCACCGAGCGCCGCCTGCATCTCCTGCAGAATGCGCGGCAGCTCGCCTGCATCGGTGCAATTCACGCCCAGCGCCGACGGGCGCCCGAGATTCCCATCCCCCGCGCCCGATCCAAACGCCGCATCCATGACCGAGCGCACCGTCACACCACCCGTCTCGGGGAACCGCCCGCCAGGAAAGACGAAGCTGATCCACCACGGTTTGTGGAGCCCTCGCGCTGCCAGGCGGCCGACCGCGATCCGGATCGCGCGAATCTCGCGCAGCAGGGGCACTGTCTCGAACGCGATCAGGTCGACGGCGGCCCAGGCTCGCGGATCGGCCGCGACCATGGAGAGCCGCTCGAGGTGATACTGGGCGAGCGCTTCGGTCGCGGTGGCTTCGAGCTCCCCTTCCTCCGGCGAGAATGCATTGACATTGGGGCCAGCAGTGGTGTAGGCTCGGGGGCCGTACGGCGGGGGGTAGAACGCGTCGAATTCCTCGATCGCAGTTTCCAAATGATGAAGCGGGATAAGAGGGACAAAGGACACACCTGAGCCGGAGAAAGTCCCGCACCAAAAGGCCCCAGCGACAGCGCGATCTTGGGGCCGGGCTCCGCGTCACCACCATTCTGGTGGGTCTCGCTTAGGAATCGCACCCTCGCATCCTCCGCCAGCAACACACACTTGCACATCAACTTTTCCCCCTCCTCATCTCCGTATCCGGCGCCTGCAAACGTTGAGGGCGAGCATTGGTATCTGTAGATGGATGGGCGATCATGTGGGGAAAGAGAATGCAGACACGATGCACGCACGTGGAGGTTAAGATGATTTGTGCCCCAGCACGGAGAAACGCGAGATGCGCATCGACAATAACCGTAGGGTGTTCGACGGCGGCTTTTGCGGACCAAAGCGGTGTGTGCGAGATGTCCAATCCGAAAGTCTGCTCAAGTGTGGTCCCCTGTACATGATGGTGGGTCTGGTCAAGGTTTGTGTAGATGGATTGACGACGCGATTACGCACCAAACCACCGTCCAAGATCACAACTTTCCTGTCCCCAGTGATCGTGGGGAACATCGGGTTCAAAATATCTAATCATGATCATACAAAATGTGCCTCACATGGCCAATCAGATCACACTTAGATATGCCACGTGATCCACAAGTGAGCTTAGTTGAAGTTCATTCCCGCAGCGCAGCAGGGGTTTGGAATATTCATATATATGTAAAGCCAGCGCGCATTCACTCTATGAACTTCTCTTTGTCGAATCGAAAGTACCTGTCTCTGTTGGCATCACTTGGCCACAAACGATCCCTTCAGTCAGAAATGTTCTGATTCAGGTTACCTAAAATATGCCACCTTGAGACTTACTTCCGGCAATGCTATCATTGCTCAATTGAAAGATTTTTTGCGACTGGACATCAAGGGTTTGCACGACGACTTTCAAGTTCTGTTAGCTGATGCAGCTTGCGCAGGAAACTGCTCACCGTGGCGGAAGCACTGCATCTGCTCTTTCCGATCGAACTTGCAATGATGCTGGCGAAACTGCTGTAGTAAAGGCTGTGGAACTGCAAAGCGAAGCACAGCCTATTGTCATATATATATATGAAAGGTAATTCATCTTCAAAGTGATTGGCACTCTGCAAGTCCACAGCTCACACTAAAGTCCACAGCGCGAATGTGAACACTTTGTTGCGAAACGGCTGTCGCTCCACACCGACATATGCCCCGCTAGGCTTCACCGCAACAAACACAACAACGCCGGGGCTGTAACAGGTCACAAGAAGGCTCCCAAGGCTGAACCCAGAAGGAATTGGAAGGCCACAGGCTAACGAGGCCTCCATTCCAGTCAAGTGAAATACCGTGAAAGTCTTAGTCAAGGAGAATCAGCGCCCTGCTGGGAAATGAATGCCGTAGGGGTGTCGAGTGACCAAGTCAATGATTAGATGGCAATTCCTGATTTGAAAGACAAAGATCGAGCGCTTCCAAGTTCCAAGGACCGATTATGATGGCAGTTATGTTCTTTCTAAGTCATCCATCATCATGGTCATCAAGATCACCCTTCTGGCTCTCGTTGACCAGATATCGGTCTCTTCCGCAGCAGCCAACCCCTTCCCGTGAGAGTTTACCGGGTATCATATTACCGATGCTCTGATCAGGTCTCTGTAAAAGGATACTAGGGTTCCGTTATCATTTCGAAGTGACGCAGAACATTGAGCTGCAGGGAACTGTAGTACTGACAGGCGAGCATCGGCAAATTGATCCCTCGATTTCGTTTGAAAAAGATCTGCATCACAGAGATGTAGCACCCAACGTCGCACGCGACATGCTCTAGAATCAGAACTACATATGTTACACGCTAGCTGAACACAGAGACAGGAAGCACAACCGGACGAATTATCTAAGATCAGTACAATGGGCTAGCCATGGAGGGAGAAAGCAGTCGGGGAAATTAGCATGGATAACTTAATTACTCATAGTATTGATTGGGCCCATCCCGAAGGTCGGCAGTGCTCATGTCGTACGTGTTATGCTTCTGGAGCCTGTTCAGTCGGGATGCAGCCTCCTGACGATACTGTTCGCGAAGGTAAAGCGCCAGCCCGAGGGCATAGAGCAGGGGCAGAGCCTAGATACGCATTCAAGACCACGCTGGGACGACGGGGAATTGTCACTCACAAAGCACCAGATGACCCAGAGAATGTTCAGCCCAGAAGGAACGCTCGCGAGTCCGGTGTACGCCGGCCATTCGGTGTGATAGCCGGTCCGGATCTGGTACATGCCCAGGAGAATGACGACGAGACCGAGGATGGCATGGAGATAGTTTTGAGGTGGCCTGCGCGCCGCATTCTTGGCTTTGACGAAATGGATAAAAGCTCCGAGGAAACACTGGAGCAGGTATAGAGCGAAGATGATGATGCCGGTTTTCTGCAGTGGCTGTGTCAGGAGGGTAGATCGAATGCCGGCATGCGCAGCAACCCACCTTATGATTATCGAGAACGCTGGATCCAGATGAACCGGCAGCCTTGAATCCCAGAATGACACCAATGAGAATGACGGGTCCCGCTTGCCCTTATAAGTACCGATGGAAACACACAAAATAGAGCACCACGTACCGATTCCAAATTGGGCAATCCAGTGGCCGGTGTACCAAGCAGGGGTGGAGGTGCGAAGGTAGCGGGCAACCAGCACACCGCTTGGCAGCAACAGTGCAAATCCAATGACACAGAAGATGGCATGCGCAACGATCAGGCGCTGGTACGGTGTCAACGGAATGCCATCTGTCGCGCCACCGGTGTCGGCGCTCGAGGTACTCGAGCCGCTCGAGCTACTCGACTGGGAACTTGCGCTTTTGGACGCGACTGGGGCGGCGGTAACACTCGTTGCGGCGGACGCCGACAAGGATTTGGTCAAATCAAGGGAGAACTGGCCGTAGTCCTTGTGGAAAATTAGAGTAGCATCTTTGGCAGATGAGCCGGGATTGGTGGCTCCGAATGCAAAGATGAGAGGCGGTTTAGTGTTCCCGTCCGACTGTGGCGGATATGAGCACGGCTCGCCGAGGAGAAAACGCGTAACTGTCCCATACCGGAATAGTATAAACGAAAGATTGGTCCCCGGATGCCTAGGCGACGAAGTATTCGGCACGAGCATAGACTTGCAGTATAAAAGGAAACGCACAGTGCTGAGCGACTCCGACAGTGTGGCGAGGAATGGGGGACTGGCATCCAGAGTAGGCATCTGCTCTCCGGGTGCTGTTCGCTGAGAAAGCGTCACCGAGCCGTCGGAGTTACTCCACATGATGACCATCTTTGCGTTGGCCATGTACGATCCAAAGCCCCTGCGATCCCGTAAGCCGAAGATGCCCATGCTCGGGTGCCCGCGCCCACGCACATTGCCATCCATCCTGGTGTCATCTTGCCCGTGCCCGAGAGAGTGTCTGTCGTATATCAGCCAGGCAGCAGTCGATATGAATAGAGGCACAGACATTGGACTGTCGAGCCATTGACCACCGCTGCGACACACATGTACTGCAGCCGCCTCTTCAGCTTTCATTCTCATCGCCACCCAAAGAGGCGCTCACAGTAGTGCATTTGGAGTCACCCGTCAACGTCGAGGTATCTCGAGCGTAGAAGTCGTTCTATCGGCATGAAGGTGGGATGAGTCCCAGCCACAAGAGGGTTGCAATAGGACGCACAGATGCGACAGACGCAGCAGCGAGACCAAGCAGAGAGGACACCACGAGGGTGCGGAGGAGACGAGCCATGGCTTACGGGGCGAAGGGTAAGGAATGGATTGGTGGGACGATCGGAAAAGGAGGACGAGAAAAGGGTTATAGTAGATGATAAAGAATGCCTTCACTGTCAGTTGCCTCCATATGGCGTCACAGCCACAATCAAATAAATGCGAACTCCGGTCTTTCAACATCTTCTGAAGCAACCGTCATCTGGCCCTGGCCCAAACCAAAACGCTCCAAGCCGGGAAGTAGAGCGTCCCTAGCAGTCGCTTCTATTCGAAAGGCTGCTAGCTCAGGTACCTACCTACTGCATTGCGGTCTTCAATCACATTGTTCTCTGCAGGCTGCGGAGGCAAATATTGCTTACGTCGTAAGAAGTTGAACCCAGTTGCTAAGCCACCTGCCGTGAACCTGCGGCACTCTGATTCACATGCGAAGATACCGTCTTACCAACGCAGGCTCGGGGCTCGCACGTTCGAACCAACAATAGAACTCGAAGTTCGAACCGGAAGAAGTATCAGGAATGGCTTACAGACCGGATCAGCCCGTCTTGGTAGTTCTCAACAGCTTTCTGAAAGCATCAACACTTGCATGCGCTCCGCTCACGTAGACTGCATTCGTTTGTTTGAATGTTGACATGTCAAAAGGACCCTGGTGGACCTTTCAGCTCGATGCTTCCGATCTATCATCCGTCAAGTCTATCGGCAAAAGGTGCCATTCATGCAAGCGCCTTCTTCTTCTCGTTCATTTCCTCCGCAGCCTCCGCTTGTTCCTTGGCTTGAGCGTTCGCTATACTCAAATAGGTGTCTGTTTCTCCTGGTCAGCCGAGAAGGCGAGACAGAAAGGACCGGACGCACTCCAGAACAAGCTCACTACGCCCACAAACAAGAACCTCAGATGCGCGGGAACGAGCCAGAAGTTGATGATTTGCGTTGGCACGAATACAAGCCTGAACCCGTGCATGAGGTCATCATCGTCGAGCGGGGTAAGGCTAAGCAACGCACCAGTTACGGAACAGTGTCAAGACATATCCCTGTCATCCTGATATCAACCACGGGAAGGAGCGCAAACGATGCACCTGACGCACCGCCTTCAATCGAGGAACAATCTCGCCCGGCTGGCCCTCCAGGATCGCCATGGACGAGAAGAAAGTGACGACCGCGACTACGTCCCGCCTAAGCTCCAGGACCAAGCATCGCGGAAAGGATCGAGTACACACCTGGCGTGAGAATGCATTGATCGAGGTACACCTGCCAACCCCACATCAGCACCACACACCGAAGCATGACGATGAAGGTTGGACTTACACGGTAAACGAGCGACTTGGTCGGCGTCGTGAACCGCAAGCGGTTCAGCAGCTGATACCATTTGGTCATCGCGGGTCCGAACACCACGCCTAGTCCGCTGTAAGTGAAGAGATTCGACCACTTGGCGCCGGTACCCCGCACCGCCGTAAAACGTCAGCCGCGCTGTCCTCATGAGCTAAACGCCTAATTGCTCAGTGACTGCGAAGGATGCTTATGCATCCGACGCACATCATGCTGTTTCCCCTTCTTCTCCACCGCCTGCTGCGCGATAACGTCCCCTGCACCGAAGAGCACAGCTGCCGTCACACACTGTGTGACCAGTGGTCGATGGAGCAGTAGCGAGCTAGTTGTGAGATGTCGGAAAACCGCCGTCGTCGATCGCCTATACAACGCACTTGTACGCCCGGAAAAAGGTCGCCATCGGAGCCAAGAACAAGGAGCGCGCTCCCGAGACGCGTGACCGATGTGTGTGACAACGCGTAGTAGGCGAATGATTGATCGATCCTGGCGGGCAGCAATATTTGCCACCACTCTCCAAACGAGTACAATAGCACTACGAAGCAGTACAGTCGGGTGATACTTACAACATAGGACGTCTTCCAGGCCTCTCACTACGCTTACCATCGGTCCCCATTCGATTGAGCAAGGACCCACCTGGTCCTTGCGGTCGAGTAAACCCCACGGCACGTCCGCTCTGGACCGTTGCCTCTTTCGTGGCTGCACCTTTGATGGAGAAGCCGGTCTCTTCCTGCTGTTTGTCCACCCGTCTCGCCGTCTGCCGGCTCTCGTTCCTTAAACCTGCGTTGGCCATCCGACTCAAGAGGGTTGGTGTCGTTTCATCTGATTCGGGTACTATCTTGGCTCGTTTCGACGGTCGTGGCGAAGTCGATCGTCCAACTATCGCATGCTTGACTGTAGTCGACCCCGGCACCGAGCGGGCAGGGAGAGCAACCGGCGGGACGGGCAAAGCTGGCGGTCGCGCCTGTATCTTCTCGTCGCCAATGAGTGACTGGTCAAACCAAACGAGAGCGAAAAAGGTCATAATATATACGAAGGAGCGGAAAACAGCCTGTGGCATGGCGAACCCTGGTCAGATTTTCGTATCGGCCTGTCTTGGCCTGCAGAGCTTGCACAGACACTCGCAACGGTGGAGGCACCGACCATCCTTCGGCTTTTCGCTGATCGTCACAATGAGTAAGCGCCGTGCGAAAAAGACACCAAGTGCGCACCTTCACGCAGTTCTCCAAAAGAACTCTGCATGCATTGTCAGACCGTTCGTCGGCCACACCACTTTTGGCCAGTCGCTATTAGAAGAGGGAGCTGAGCATTGGATATTCAATAGGGAACGCATCGAGCTCCGAACCTCGAACAAGAACGTAGACGCGTTCGCGCAATGTGTCTGCAACGGATCGCGATCGCACACCGCCAGAATCTCCGCGGTATTGCAAATGAGGTAGACCTGATCGGCTGGAGTAAAGTTCTGGAGCGACATCTTTGAGATCAGAGACGGCACATAGAACCGAAGAAGATCGCTCGGAGACCCAAGAGAGTGCTTCACTGCGACAAAGGTGAGAAGATCGAGGTAAGCTCGAGTGTTGGGCGTTATTGCCCTCTGCTTCAAGTGCCCACGTGCTTGTTCGATGAGAAGCTGCAGTAAACTGTTGCCCCTGGACCCGGACCGGAAGGTGGGCAAATGTATCAGTAGCTGCTCGACAACATTTCGTGTCTCTTCAGGTCGAAGCTTCGGGATGACCTACGCGAGATCAGGGAAGGCCAGGCAGATATCTTCACGAAGGCACCTGAAACAAACCCTCGGCAAGAACACCCTCCGCCTCGCTGCCCTCAACAGCATCCCGCTCTGCCAAGTTTGTCCGGGCTTCCTTCCCTAGAAAGTCCAAAACCAAAATGCGCAGCCGACCCCTCGTCTCTTTTTCCTCACGGTCCATAGCGTCCTCGTCTTCATAGAGCATCTGATCGCGCATTACTGACAGCGTCACGGATGGATTCAAGTCTAGATGTCCGAGCAAGGCCTCCTTCACTACAGCCGCTTCCGCCGCATCATCTAGCGGTACATTAGGCAGCTAGACCAGAAGAACGCACACCGACGCATACCATTCTGCAACAGCTGCAGCAACACGTCCGTATTCCGCTTGATCCACTTGTCCGCCGCCCGCGAAATCTCCGTGATAGCGCGGTATCCCTCCATGCGCACCTGTATACGCCAACCCGATCAATCATGTTGCACATGGAGAGCAGCGACGACGACGACTTCACGCACATCAGAAGACGCGTCCTCGCACAAATCGTACACGGCATTGATGACCGCCTCCTCCTCGTCATTCGCCAAGTCGCTACTGCTGAAAAGTAGTGGGATTCCCCCCGCGGCGAGAATCTGCAGCGTCTCGTGCTCCGAGTGCGTCAGGTCGATTAGTTTGTCCAAGGTCCGCTTGCGCTACATGTAGGGGCGTGATAAAAAGACGGGGTGCACCCAGACCTACGCAAAACGCACCATTAAGACTGAACTGTCCGAGCTTCTTGCTCGACGGAGTAGATCTGCATCCAATGAATCACTGGCATATACAAATCGGCACACCCCCTACCTCTCACATCTCGTTCTTGCTCGCTGAGGCTCTTCGCCATAGACCGGCACAAAAGAAGGGTGATGGTTTCGCACAAGATGGGATGATGTCAATACATCTAAACAACAGGAAAGTCTGCTAAACCGAGAAACTATGCGATATGCGTATGTAGGTGTGTATTCAGGTGGCGATTGTGTGGGGGGTATCCAGGGATGCAGAATGCGTACTTTTGAAAACAGTCCAAATGCGAAATCAGACGGAATGAGAAACTCTCTGCTCAACAGCGGGATCAACGAACAAGGCCTCGAACTCCTCCGGCGTCTGTCCAATGACACCGAACGCGTTCTGAAGCGTCCGACCGAGCTTCTCCAGCTCCACAGTAACACCCTGCATGGTCAGCGCATAAGCGAAGAACAGCAGCTGCCGCGATCCTTTCGCATCTCGATTTCGGACGACGTCCAGCTTGCGAATCGCTGCCACCTGCGGATGGTAAGCTCATGCGTTCCTTGACGTCGAGGAACACGCACCAGCCGCTGTCTGGCAGCCTCCGCCGGAGGAAGGTATGGAGGGAGAGGCGATTTCAATCGGAAGGCAGAGGAAAGGGTCGAGAAGCCGAGGATGATGTTGCCCACCATTTCTCGCCGCTCTTTGGCAACAGGCACAATGAATTCCTGCCGCACAGACTGCGAAATATCTCAACAGAAGGATCAAGAAATAGTAGAGCCACGCACAGTGTACCATTCCTCGCGTGTGGTCACACATCTCATACTGTGCAGCTTGTCCAGGATGTTTTGCAGGCTGGTAAGGATGCCACGGTAGAGCTGGATAGGGAATGGCCCCTTCAATCGCGGCTCATGCTGTGTCTGAGCAAGCAGCCCTTGTAGTTCGATGAGCTTGATCTGCAGATGAAGTTCCATGGCCATGAACTCCTTGATCGAGTTGCTCAGTCGTGCATGAGCAGGGGAAAGAGCTGAATCCTCGTTGGCATGCTCCTCCGCATCATCACCGGGCAGGGGACTGAAAGAATTGGCCGCGACCAGTCTGGTGTAGAGCCATCCAATATTCAAGCAGAATCTGGTCCCATGTGTGAGACAGTGACTGGATTGCCGAGCCCAGCACTTACTCGCTCAACCCTTTCGTCAGTTCTCGTCTCGCTTCGGCAGGCCACCAAAAGCGGGAGACCAGGGCTGCCCAAACGACCCCTCCAGTAACAGCAATAGCACGGCGGATCGCAATGTCCGTGGGTGAGAGCTCCTTGTCCCGTAAGTTGTAGCTGGAACTCGAATCAGCTAGAGAACAAGTCACATGAGGACATCGACAAACCAATACAGACACGTCAGATTGTAGGTCAGCAGCACAAAACGGGATGCCGAGACGTATTGAGGCTTGGCTACAATGTAGTAGAAGCAAGGAATCGAGAAGAAGAATCCGAAGGTCGCGAGCACCGCAACATTGTCTGGGAACAAAGTGTACACCAACGCAGCCACTCCAGCACCGAATACAGTGCCTAGGACACGATGCAGACTGAGAAAGTTGGTTGCTCCGATGGTCGGAGAAATGACGATGAAGAACGAGATAAGCGCCCAGTCCCCCCACAGAGAAACGAAGATATGGCGGGTCGAATCAAAGAATGCAGGAGCTGACAACAACGCAGTTGCCATCCCAGCCTTCACACCATACTTGGTGTCGCTCTGCGCAAGTCGCGTGCCGACGAGCCACATTCGTTGCTTGATCTTCCCGATCCATGTCAACCGATCCCAAGGTGTTTGAATCGTGTTTGGTGCATGGGGCCTGACTTTGGGGAAGGAAGGATGCGCTTGCCGGAGAGCGGGGACCATATACTGAGCTGGAAAGATCTCGGCAATTGCGTCACGAAAGGAAGGCAACATCACTCACAGAATCGTCGTCGTAGCTGTGATTGCCCCTTCTTGGGTTTCCGACTGCGCGGACTGTCCTTCTTCTTTAGACTCCAGAACCATGAAAGAATACGCTTCCACCGAGAGGGACGCGTCTCCCGGTCGTAGATCCTCTCCATAGCATCGACCAACGACACCAGCTCCCCGGCGAACTCTTGGAGCGTAAACATGAAGCTGCAGGTCCATTAGCTTTGACATCACGATACGTAGAGAACGACGCACAAATAGACCAGAAACACATGCTCGTTGTCCGAACTGCTCAGTACCTGCGTGTCTTCAGTGTAGTTGCTATCTCGAACATCCACGGGGAGGTCTGGCGCTGTGCTCCGTCTATACAGCCGTAAGACTGCATGGTTCGAAGTCGTCTCAAAGTTGACCAGGGCATTCTGGATCCCTTCGACAAGCTGATAAAACTCTTCCCGACGGAATGCATTTCGCTTGTGTCGCCTCTGGAAGGAATGCCGGATCCGCAAAAGCGTAGTGGTACATGTTTCCTGAAAGTGACAGTGAATACCATGTGCACTTGACATGGCACAGCACGCACAGAAAGCGCCCTCAGTGGCGGGCCAACATCTTCGACTAGATCTCCGAACATATCCGCCGCAGCCTGAAGCATAGCAGTTTCTTCGTCACGTTCCTCCAATTCCTTAACAGAGACGTGGTCCATTCTATGTTTCCCGTTCGATTTTCCATCGGCATTCGTCGCCGCCTGTCCTTTGACCATACCGGCCTTGGTCAGATCATATTGCAGACGGGTACCACCACGTAGACCATTGAGGTGCTGCGCAAGTCGATTCAGGCTACTGACAGCATCTTCGTAGGCACGGCCGCGACCGCCGCCACTTCCTTTCACCCATTCACTTTGCGCTTCTTTCAGATTCTTTTTCAGACTGGTGAAGCTGCTTTGATGATTTGCGACAGCCTTCATCAAACGCTCGTGGCTTGGTTGCTGCAGCCCGTCCTCGAGCAGAAATGCATTTGTCAACAATCCCAACAGGGTCGAGAAGGAGTCGAGCGTCTTGCCCATGTTGGCTTGCAGCGCGGCGGTGGCTGATTGTGGCCAGATCATGAAACAAACGATATTGGAAGTCACAGTGCCGCAGATCACAATGAACGACACCTGCAGCAATGTCTCAAGACCGCCTTCTTTGACCAGGCTTTGCACAAATCAGGTAAGTGTCTGACATGTAAGTTGAGCACTTACACGACGAAGAGAAGAATCGCTGTCATGCTGCAAGCTAGACGAACACCGGCGGGATTAGCATAAAGCAGCCCTGACAGCACACGATAACGCACCCGTGTTGAACGAAGGACTCGCCATATAGACTTTCATCCATGCCACAACACTCATGCTCACACCAATCCAGACAATGACAAATATGTCAGCCAACCACTCCCATCCAGGCTTTTGTTCGAGCCACCAGAACACGGTCATCGAGGACAGCGACACGAAAGCCGAATACACCAGACCGAGAAAGCAATAGAAGTCTGCCTCAACCATTCCTCCCATGGTCTTCGCAGGATTGAAGTATACGGCACTGGAAAACTCTTGAGTGATGATTCGGAGCAGGGGGTAACCAAGACGCACACTGTCGCAACCATGTGGCCGCTGGGCGATGGCCGACGCTCGCGATCTCCATACGTCGTCAAATCGCTGATGAAGCTCGAGAGGTAGGGATTAAACGTAAAAAGCGACGCGATAAAGTAGGCGATTGCGCATTTCAGGATGTTTCGGTACAGAACAGGTACGTTTGTCAGGCGGTGGAGCGAGAACCATCGAACAGGGGGAGAAGGCTCCGTGGCATTGGTGACCGTACCACGCGTGATGGTGGAGCTCGTGTCGTCCGAATCGTAACCATCCTCGTCCTCCTCATCCTCTTGCTGCTGGGTGTGTGACGACATCAAAGACACAGGAGACCGTGGACCCGAACCGAGAAAAGAGTCGTGAACGTTTCCGAGCGGCGTCGCCTGTGCGCTCGTACTGAAGTAGCTATTGCTTCTTCCCCGTCCGGCTCCGGACCTGATGCTTCCAGTCCAAAGTTCGCTCTCGTCCTCCATAACCTGCTCAAAAACGGACCACTGCCGCTCACGTCGAGGTGTCGTTGAGTCGGACGTTGAAAAGCTTCGCGGAGGGAACGATAAACGTGGCCGTGTAGTGTTCAAGCTCCCATATCGAGCGGAGGGAGTCCCGGGATTGTCGGTAAGTGGGTCTCGACTCCTAAGATCGGATAGAGTCGAGCTACTGGGCCTGAGGCTTCTCGTTGAGGGTATTTGTATGGCCTCGGATGCAGACATGTCGCTCTGTTGTGTCAGGTCGACAGCATGCAATCTAGCTCAAAATGTGAGTCTGAGGTGTCGTGCTGTAACGCGCTGGATTCGGCGTACAAGGGGAAGACGCCTAACAGGAATGACTGGAATTTTATGGATTCCGGTCCGGCTGGCGTGCTATGAAGCCTATGCTGAGCCCGAGATGGGAGAAGGGTGGATGACGGGCGACACCAAACTCGCAACCTGTAATGATGTAATGGCCAAGCACAAGACAAACACTTACACTTCGCTTAACCATCTGATTGGGCAATCAATTGCCCGATTGAAATTTTCCTACAAATATATTCCGCTCTAGGCCAGGGATGCTCCGTTTTGCAGGAAACTTGGACTTCGCGTGTGGCATCATCATGGATATGGTCTTGCATGCTGCCATCAGCCCGTAATCTAACACCCTGGAGGGCCTTACTTTCTCTGCTGAAATCGTGCGGTAATCTAAAAGTTCCCGTTTGGTGCTTTACTGGTTAAAAAAAGTAATGAAATCCAAGTCAATTGACCGACAATTTGTTCCACAAATAGTCTCTTTCCCTGTAAAGAATCATGCAAATTGATTATCTTCTTTGGATCATTTTACGCCAAAAGAATCTTCTTCCTGCAATGTCTGTTTTCATGGAGAAAAGAGGTCATTTGACAAGATGAAAAGTTTTGAGAAAAGAAACACAATTATGTACGAGAAACTACGTACATCGAGCGTGTCTACAGTATGTAATGGAACAAGTATAGTAGGTATTTTGTAACAAGAATAGGTATCTACATTAAATGTAAGTAGCATATTAGTGAGTTTGGGGCACCGTCAAGTACTACGGATCAGCGTCATTAAAATGATCCCGTAATGCGAGAGCTTGTAAAGAAAACTGTGCTGATTGAAAACCATGGACTGGTGCTGGGATGAGGGGACAAATCACGCCTGTGAAAAAATATTATACACAAACACAACGCATCGGCACGTGTTCTCAAGCCATCAACATCACTGATCAATCGGACTTTGAAATGTCACTCATCCACTTAGACTACAGTCCTCCATAACCACGCACCGGCAAGACTAGGAGAAAGTTGGAGCACCTTTAGAATACATAAGGTACGTCTCTTAAAAAGACCAGAGCCTTGCACAAGGAGGGGCCTGTGCTCCAATGGTATCTTTTGTTTTGGGCCTCTAAATGATGCACCAGCTCTCACTTTGTATATGATTCCTATTTATTTATAGATGCAAAATTTGGTATTTAGCAGTTTTTGAATGGTGGCTACGAGTTCCGGAGGACACCGAAGGCAATTTCAAAGGAGGGAAAAAGAGATCAGCCATTTCCCGTTGCCTTGTGCATTTCCCGTAGTGTTGGCATCAATGGTAATAAGCACGGGTCTGGAATCCGGCTTTTCGGCATTGGTCGGCACTAGTTGATGCCAGGCCCCATTGTGTCCCGTCGGTCTCGGAGTGGTTGCCAATACATCCCGTTGATTCCGACCCAATTTGCAGACCTAGCCTTGCATGATGCTACTTAATGCTCCTTACAACATGTTGGAATCATTCTGCGTGACTTTCCATGTGAACTGGGGTCGGAATCAATGGAAAATTATAGCAATTTCAATCTTTTCTCAGCAGAAAAGATGGCCTTTTTTCAATTCTATTTTCAACAAAAATTGCTGATGATCGATCCACAATGAAAACAGACTGGAAAAAGACAATCTATTTTCAGTTCTCTTTTTGGGAGAAACATATATCTATTCGTCCTACAAATTGCTCTGTAAATCGACGTAGATTTCCAATATCTATTTCTCAACGGAGAAAAGAACGCTGAAAACTGGACCACTAGATTGCCACGCCTTTTCCGCGGAAAGAATAAGGCCATCTGCAGCGATTGCAGTGCCATATAAAATTGGTCATTTCGATGCAAAACTGTGCTGGACAAAACATGTAAATCTCGAAAATTTTTGCGCTCGCCTGATCAGGGATCATCAGAGGCCCTGTGATGCCCTGGTTTTCGATGTACGGGACAAAACTGTGAGGCGTTTGATGATTTCCAGGGTGGTTTGTGCTCAGAACGTCACACCCTGGAATGGTCTAGTATACATCACATGCTTTGTACAACAATCTACGCGGCGCGCGACCACCTGAAACTCACGGGACTCCCCAATTTGAGAACATCTGACTGAAACCCACCAGTTCATGTTGTTACCATCTTACAACACTGAGAAGGTCACTTTGCTTGGCGCCTGACACACTCTGGGCCCAGTCACTAGTCACCAGTCGTCTTGGCCGCTCTGCCAGGATCTTTATCTTATGCAGCTCTTATTCCGACAGCGAAGCTCGCCAGGATGTTACAGTTACTACCGCCAGCGTGAATTCGTCGAAGCGGTATTAGCTCCAACATCGTCTATCAACGAGCCTCGCGTGCAAACACTGACGATATCCCCCCGAGTACGAGCGCGCTCTATAGTAGCTCGCTGCATGACGGACTTGCGGTTGCTGAAATGGGAGAACGAATCGAGCGCATAGTAGGTCTTGTCCTTCTTCGAATTATAGTGGCCGACAGCACCTTATTCGCGGGCTGCCAAAGGCCCTGGCTTCTGTTCTCTCGTGCCGTATTCCGTCTCGGCTATCATAATAGAATGCAGATCACCACCTGGCACCTGCTCAGCAGTGTATGTCGGGAAAGTCCGAGACGGGTTTCCGCTGGCATTGAGGCGCATATTTTCCGAGAGGAAATAGGCTAGACTTGCATTCCCTCTCCAGTCGTGTAAAGAGAGCCAGTGGTCTCAGTTTATTTGATTTCAAGGGTTCAATTTTTTTTAGCTTGAAGAACCTCGGTCTTCGTTGTAAATGCCGGATCTGCGACGCGTTCTCGCCGCGGCAATGTCCTAGACAGCTAAGAAGGCGAAGAATATCTTGAATCAGATTGGATCTGTGACTTATTTTCCATTTTAGGCATCTGAGTTGTTCATCCCTCTTCCATGTCGTTCCCTGTCATGCCGCCCACCTGGACTCTCCTTCCACGAGATACGATCGTTGGCAAGGATAGCTTGATTTTCTAAGTGATCTTCTCGCTCAGCCTAAGGCGCGCGCGCCATAAAAACGTCTCGGATCTCAGCAGTTAGCCCTCAGTTTCCTTCCTTCCTTTCTTTCTCTGTGAACATTTTGTGTCACAATGATTTCTGCTGCAACTTTCGTTTCTCTTGCCGTTCTGGCCAAAATAGTCGCCTCTGTGTCCGTCGGGCCAGTCGCCTCACTCGTCGTGGCGAACGCTACGATCGCTCCTGATGGCTTCCCCCGAGCTGCTGTTCTGGTTGGCGGGACGTTCCCGGGTCCTCTCGTAACCGGAAAGATCGGGGACAACTTCAAGCTCACGGTGGTGGACAACCAGCAGGACAATCGGATGCTGGAACCGACCTCGGTTGTACGTTCAGGCTTCGTTGGATATACTGAGGGAGGGAGCTTACTGAAACTCCATGTAGCACTGGCACGGCCTGTTCCAAAATGGGACCAACTACATGGATGGCCCGGCATTCGTTAACCAGTGTCCGATTTCGCCCGGAAATTCGTTCACATACGATTTCACGTCCCAGCAGGCTGGGTGGGCGATTTTTCCGTTTTTCCTCGCGGGAGGGATGCGGTGCTGACATGCGTCCAGGACGTTTTGGTACCATTCTCACTTGGCAACTCAGTACTGCGATGGCCTTCGCGGTGCGATGGTCATCTACGACCCCGCAGACGCCTACCTGAATCAATACGATGTCGACGACGAGTCTACCGTGATCACTCTCGCGGACTGGTACCATGTTTTCGCCGAGACGGTGGCTGGCGTCGCGTGCGTTTTTTCTTTTCTGCTGGAGCCCAGATATCCACTCGCTGACGACTCGCTCAGCACACCGGCTTCAGTGCTCATCAATGGTCTTGGACGCACGGCTGATACGGCCAGCAACACCACACTATCGGTTGTCAATGTGACAAAAGGCCTGCGATACCGCTTCCGTCTGATCAACACCGCGTGCGACTCGGACTACGTCTTCCAGATTGACGGGCACTCGAACATGACGATCATCGAGGCGGATGGCGTGCTGCACGAGCCGCTCAGCGTTGATTCCATCCGCATCTATGCTGGTGGGTTCTGGATGGTAATAATCATGGGATTGCCGAATGAACCGACCAACAGGACAGCGCTACTCGTTTATTCTGACCGCCGACCAGGCCGTCAACAACTACTGGATCCGTGCGAATCCCAGTACCGGCCCGACGGGTTTTGCTGGAGGCATCAACTCGGCCATTCTGCGCTGTGAGTTTTTTTGGCTCGTGTTTCGACGTGCTCAGGACGTTAACTTATTTTTTTCCGATAGACGTTGGTGCGCCTTCTTCTGAGCCAACCACCGCACAGGACACGTCCGTTAAGGCTCTCGTGAACGAGGTGGACCTGCACCCGCTGGTCAACCCGGGCACTGTCGGGAAGCCGTTCAGCGGTGGTGCTGACGTCCAGGTCAACCTGGCCCTAGCATTCGATCTGGTGCGTCGATCACTATGAGCCTGTGGATGGTACTGACCTTTGTATGGTAGACGACGTTTAAGTTTACGGTCAACGGTGCCTCTTTCACCTCCCCGACTGTCCCCGTGCTGCTGCAGATCCTGTCTGGAGCCCAGCCCGCCCAGGCCCTGTTGCCCGCGAAAACAGTCTACACGCTTCCGCACTTCGCGTCTGTCGAACTCACCCTGGCTGGTGGAGTTATCGGTGGCGGGGTACGTCACTCTTTGTTTTGATCAACCTACGCCTCATGTCTACTACCAGCATCCGTTCCACTTGCACGGCCACACATTCGACGTCATCCGTTCGGCCGGTAGCAGCGTCTACAACTACGTCAACCCCGCGCGCCGCGACGTCGTCAACATCGGTAGCACGGGAGACAACGTAACCATCCGTTTCTTTACAGACAATCGTGGACGTGCGTCGTTGCACTCTTTCTGTTTTACCGCATCTCTGACCTTGCGTAACTACTATCACTACACACAGCGTGGTTCCTCCACTGCCACATTGACTGGCATCTCGAAGCCGGCTTCGCTATCGTCTTTGCGGAGGCCGTCGACGACTGGAAAGCCGAGATCAGTCCCAATGCTGAGTGGGATCAGCTCTGCCCGAAGTACAATGCTCTCTCGGCTGAAGTTACCTCCCTCGCGGGGTAAAAAAAAAATCGAAGCCTCCCATCTTCACGCTCGTTAATGTGATCTGTTTGTTACATACTGTATTCTCGATTAATGTAGATGTACGTATTGGTTCTGCGCCGTTACTAAATAGACCGTCGGACACATGCTTTGTTTGGTTGAATTCTGAGGTTGAACATCCACGTGATGAACAACGTGCCTATCGAGCTGACTCAGCCGTGCGTTTCCCCTTTTGTACACCAAGGCCTTGTTGTTCGCCTCGCAAGACTACATACTTACCTTTTGTAGTCTGCTGTGAGCGTCTCTCGGCTCACTCTATCCCCCCCACCATGCACTCGAAACTCATTGCCGCAGCGACTGCGCTGGCTGGATGCGCGACCGGCGTCGTCGCCTGGGGAGCTGCAGGTAAGCACCACCGACCCATTCCCTCCCCCACGCGTCACATAGTAACCTCTCCCCAGGACACGAAATCGCCGCCACGATAGCCCAGATCTACCTAGACCCCAGCGTGCTCCCGACGATCTGCACGCTCCTCAACTCCACGTCGACGGACCCCACCGCGCCGCTGTGCCACTTGGCGCCCGTCGCGACGTGGGCGGACAAGTACCGCAACAAGATGCGCTGGTCGGCGCCGCTGCACTACATCGGCGCCAAAGACGACTATCCGTCGCGCACGTGCGCGTTCCCGGGGGCGCACGGGTGGGCGGGGCGCGAGGGCGGCAACGTGCTCGGCGGGATCCGCAACGTCACGGACATCCTCGAGGGCGTGGGGCCGTACGGGCGGCGGGGCGAGATGTCGACACAGCAGTATGAGCTCGCGAGCGAGGCGCTCAAGTTCCTGATCCACTTCATGGGGGATATGCACATGCCACTCCACCTGACTGGGCGCGACCGCGGAGGGAACTCGATGAAAGTGGCTTTCAACGGCCGGCAGACCAGTGCGTGTTTGGCTCTCTACTTCTCCGCTGTCGATCGCTTAACGCGAGCCTGTAGACCTGCACTCCCTGTGGGACGGGCTGCTCATCGCGAAAGCCCTCCGCTCCGTTCCGCGCAAGTACAACCAGCGTCTCCCCTCGCGCAAGATCGAGTCCGCGCTCCGGGGAACGATCTACGACTCTTACGTGCGCATGATCATGGTCGAGGGCGTCCTGTCCCAGTGGCAGCGCGAGCTGCCGGACTGGCTCGCCTGCCCCGCACAATCAGCGCCCGTCAGTCTAGCCATGCCCACCTCCCTCGGCACGCTCTGGCAGCAGGCCGTGTACGTCTGGGAGCGCGTTACCCGTCGCACTTCGGCTGCTACGGATATCGACGACGCTCTGATCTGTCCCTACTACTGGGCGCAGCCCATCCACGCGCTCAACTGCGAGCTCGTGTGGCCGAAGGCGCTAGACGAGCCGCCCTACGACACGATCTCCGTCGCGCACGACGGTGACGCGCACTCTTACCACGGGAGCGATGCCCACGGCCGAGACACGCTTGCGGCGGAACTCGACCAGGTCGACGCGGCTGGGCGCTTCACTGCTGGCACGCCGAGCAAGCAGCATCTGGAGCTCGACACACCCGAGTATTCGGGGAAGATCATGAAGGACCGGGTTGTGGAGAAGCTTCTTGCGCAGGCCGGGATCCGGCTTGCGGGGGTGCTCAACTACCTGTTCGCTGACTTGGACGACGAGGAGATGATGGTTTGGAGGAGTCAGTTGCGCGTAGATCCGTGAGCCTACTGAATGCGCCGGGAATGTACGATATCTAGATTGTCAGATGTGTGACGAAGGAATGTAACTGAATTTGTGTAGTACGCATGCGAGCTGATGGGGTGACCCGGTGCCGCATAGCTGGCCGACTCGGATCGAGTGCTCGTCTTGCCAGTACCGATTGAGAGGTAAGCCAAAAATATTGCTGTCCCAGGGCCCGCGTGGATGCATGGTTGACGTCATGCACACACGCCATCTGACGGTCGCGGCTTGGAACACACTTGGAAGCCAATTGGGATGAGTTCTTGCAACTTCCAAGTTCTCCCTCGTCGACTACACCTACGCCTAGACTCTCCTGGAAAAACTATCCGAGGTGCTTTGTCATAACTGTCTACCGGCGACGCGGGCGTGTTCGGTGAACGCGCAAGCAGCGTGCCGCATAGGTCTCGCACCGAGCGCATAAGCCCTCGGCTCAAGACGAAGCCAGCCCGGCCCATATAAAATGCAGGCAATCCGCCCAGCATCCGCACACATCTCTCTCTGCAATGTCTCTCTGGCAGCCTCCTCCCCCACCGTCCACGAAGCTCGGCGTCTACCGCACGCTCTCGACGAAAGCGGGTGTGCACGTCTCGCCGCTGCAGCTGGGTGCGATGAGCATCGGCGACCAGTGGGCCAAGTTCGGCATGGGCTCGATGGATAAGGAGTCGAGCTTCAAGCTGCTGGACGCGTACTTTGACGCGGGCGGGAACTTCATCGACACCGCCAATGCCTAGTATGTCCCTGGGACTCGATTTGACTCGGTGGCTCACGGCCGTTGCAGCCAGGACGAGACCTCGGAGATGTTCATCGGGGAGTGGGCGGAGAAACGGGGAATTCGAGATCAGCTCGTCCTCGCGACCAAGGTCCGCGGCTGCCTTCTTTACAGCCTGCAGCGTGTTCTGACTCCCTCGGACGATCCGAATCTATGTAGTACTCGGCCAACTTCAAATCGCGGCAAAACATCGTGCAGCAGGTGAACTACACGGGCAACAACGTCAAGTCGATGCATCTCAGCCTCGAGGCGAGTCTCAAGAAGCTGCGCACGACGTACGTCGACCTGTTCTACGTGCACTGGTGGGACTACGACACGAGCGTCGAGGAGGTCATGGACGGGCTGCACAATCTCGTCGCGCAGGGCAAGGTGCTCTACCTCGGCATCTCGGACACCCCGGCGTGGGTCGTCGCGGACGCGAACCGGTACGCGCGGGATCACGGGAAGACGCCGTTTGCGGTGTACCAGGGCATGTGGAACGTCATGGACCGCTCGTTCGAGCGGGAAATCCTGCCGATGGCTCGCGCGAACGGTGCGTCGTCGCCTCGAACTTCTCTCTGCGAACAGGGAAGCTGAACTGCGATGCAAGGCATGGCCCTCGCCCCGTGGAACGTCCTCGCACAGGGGAAGCTCCGCACGGATGCCGAGGAGGAGGCTCGCCGCGTTTCGGGCGAGAAGGGCCGCGTGACGTTCAGCCCCACGTGGGAGCGCAACGAGCAGGAGAAGAAGATGTCCCAGGCGCTCGAGAAGGTCGCCGGTGAAGTCGGGGCGAAGCACATCACATCTGGTGCGTTTCTTTACGTTTTGGATCCTCCAGCACTCGATCTCACCGAGATGTATGATCCAGTCGCCATCGCGTACCTCATGCACAAGGCCCCGTACGTTTTCCCCATCATCGGTGGGCGCAAAGTCGAGCATCTCCTGGCCAACGTCGAAGCGCTCGACGTGAGCCTGTCGCCTGAACAAATCGCCTACCTCGAGAGCGTCTCACCGCTGGATCCCGGCTTCCCCAATTTCATGATTGTACGAGCATTCTCTGGATGTTTGGATAATCTATCTGACGCTTATGCCAGGGCGATGGAACGAAGAACAGCAGCTTCTTGGCTTCGGCGGCGCACTTTGACCGTGTGCCTATTGCACAGAGCATCCCTCACAAGAAAAGCTGAACGTCGATTGTACTTTGGTAGCCTAGTCTCCTGATCGGACCTGAATTGTAAGCTGGATTGGAGAATGAAGATTGGCCGAGTATCTCAGAAGCTCTGAAATCTAGATACGGAAGAACGCATGAATGAGCCATGCGGTCTTTCGAAACAGGGTGCACGAATTCAGCCGGTGATGCTTGAAAGCTGTTTGTGCGAGGCGAACCTCTGTGACTTGGTAAGAACCAATTCTACTGCACTGTTTCGAACGACTGCCAGATCATTTCTCTTTCTTGAAATTCGAATTCCAGCCAAGTGCCTTTCGTGCCGTCTAATATATAATTCATTCAGTCTTGCACCATTTTCATGGGCCCCGATTAGAACTGCGAGAGAGTGATATTATGATGCTGCCAGAGCGCCCAACTGATTAAATTCAGATCACATCTGCTGCATATATTGCGTAAACGGGAAATAGCCACAGCTCGTCGAGCCGCCGGTGAGATCAGCCAGGCTCTGAGCGAGCCCGCCTTCGCTCTGCGCGGGGTTCGTCGTCAGGAACACATGCGACGTCCCATCCGCCATCAAGCACAGCGCCGTGTAATAGAAAACGGGGCTCGAAGGCGACGAATCACTCGGATCGCCCGGGTCCAGCGCCACCGCGTACGGATTGGGCGACTGACGCACATCGTCGGCGGTGTAGAAGTATCTGGCGGGCGAGAGGTCAGCATGGGCACGAAGAGAACGCAGAGACAAACAAGACATACAATTGAACTCCCCCATCTGGAGGCGACGCGGCAACGACCAGCTTGCCCGTGCCTGCTTGAGTTGGGACGGTGTACAGGACCATGGCCGCGGCGGGCGCAGTGCCGTACGTCAGCCCGTCCTGACTGACCCACCCGTTATAGGGGTCCGATCCATCCATGCGGGTCACAACCACGCTGCCTTCGACAATCCAGTCCATCTGCAGACGCGCTTTCTCGCACTGCAGGTTGGTCGGGATCGATGTGCCAGAACCGGAACCGGTATCCTCAGACGACGATGCAGCTGGGGATGGATCGTTGTCCGAGGTGGCTCCAGAGCTGGATGGGTCGCTGGTGGATGGATCGCTCGCCCCGGAAGAACCATCGCCAGCCGAAGAGTCGCCAGCAGCTGAAGGATCAGCAGAGGCGGATGGATCATCCGAAGCGGACTGATCACCAGCATCCGAAGAATCGGCACCGCCGGACCCATCAGGCGCTCCTCCTAGATCGGTCGAATCCTGCCGACGTCCAATCCCGTCGTTCCCACCCGGGCGATCGTTCGCAGAAGGGTCATTGCCATCCGAGTCGTCGTTGTATGTCGTCGTTCCGCCCTTCACAGACGAGCTTCCGCCGGGAGTAGACTCGTCAGCTGAACCAGAGTCACTGCTGCTGCTGCTCGAGGAAGAGGCCTTGCTGTTTATGTATAGGTCAGTCTGTGGCACCGTGATGCGTCGACACAGGAAGCATACCCGACGCATTCATCAAACAGCGGGAACGTCAGCGGCGGATTCAGCAGCTGCAGCGGCTTGAACTTGAGCGCGGTGACATACAGCTCGTTCTTCAGCTTCCCGGTGAACCGCGGCTGCCGCGCGGCGCACTTGCCCGCCTTGGTCGACACGCTGCCCTCGAGCACGAGCGACACCTGGTCGTTCATCGCCGCCTTGCCCGTCAGGAAGCTCACCGGGATCACGGGGAACAGCGACGCCGTCAGCGCGACCTCGAGTCGAATGAAAGGCGAGACAGTGATCGTAAGCGCGGCCTCGGGGACGAAGACCGGGTGGCAGGCCGAGCTGAGGTCCCAGGTGCCGATCATCCCCGAGTTCGACGCGTCTTTGAAGTCGAGTTTCGCACCGACGCCTTTCCACGCGCACTCGAATCCGGCTTCGAGCATGCCCTCCAGTTTGATCGAGTAGTCGATTCCCAGAACCACGTTGGCTTCTGGTCCCAGTTTGAGCACTTTCGGAACCTCGAGGCCAGCGCTGAAGCACGATGAAGGACATGGCGTCCCATGACAATGTGGGAAGGCAGATCTGCTTACCCTGGAATGACACCTCCAATGGGATCCAGCTCTTTCTTGTCTTTGTACGTGTCTGCGCCGGATGAGAGAGTTGTTCCGCGCGCTGAAAAGGTGCTTACACGTCGCTTTGATCCCAAGCACCAGTCTCAGGTTGACATCTGCATCCAACTGCACGTCGGCCTGTGTGAACCCATCGGCAACAGCTGGAGAGATTGAAGTCAGAAGCCAGATATGCACCGGCGAGTCGGTTACTCTTACTCCCGACGATATTGGCGCTGAATCGGATAGTGGCCTCTGCAACGGAAGTCGGCCTCCCCGAAGCAATTCGCCGAATGAGCAACTCACGGACACCACACTGGGAGCAGAAGAACTGGATCGACTTGGTGGTCGTACTGGTCGCGTTCTTGCTGGCCGAGGAACTGCCACCCGCAGCCTGAGAGGAGCTCTTCTTCCCCGAACCGGGTTTCTTCGGTGGATACTCGTAGAGCAAATACGAGTCGTTTGGTTTCTTGAACTTGTCCTTCCACGGAACGACATCCTGGCTGCGGAACGTTCCGGTCTTCTTGGGGTGCTCATTGAACTTGATGAGCTTGCCCACGACGTTGACGGCTGCATGATCTGAGAGGAGCCATGGAATACGCAAGAGTGGACCCACCAAAGTTGAGCACCGGGTTGATCTTGATCGCGATCTTAATAATGTCACCAAACGAGAACCCGCGACTGCTCAAGTCCGACTGCGTGACCACCAGATCCCGCGCCTGCACCATGTGGGGTACATGGACGGCATCTCTGTACGGACTCTTGGGCTTCTCCAGTGTATAGGTTGCCGCATGCACGCGGATCTCCTCGTTCGGGTGCACCGTGTCGTGAATCGGCACAGTCTCCATCAGGCACTCGATAGTCCGCTGCTTGTCGTCCGTCTTGAGCGTCCCAGACACCAGGTGGAACGAGCGCTCAGACGACGTCGTGCCAGCGCCGCACCCCGGCACGTACGACACGAGGAAGAATCCGTCCTTGTGCGCTGCCCAGTCCGCCTTGGCCGTGTCGTACGCCGCCGGGTGCGAGAATCTGACCGTGATGGTGGAGGACGCGGCATCGCAGGTGACAGACGAGACGAAGTGCGACCGCTCGACCAGGACGGTGGGATACCGGTGCTTCATATGGATCAGCGCCGCGCCTTGGACCGCCGAGTCTGCGCCGTCGTCCCAATGTCAGCCAAAGGCGAGGCAGAGGGCAGAGCATCTGGCTCACCGGGGGATGCTGCGTAGTACAGCGCTGTGTGGTGGTCGCCCTTGAGGTTGTTCAGGTCGCTGGGGTCGTCGTTGGGGTGCAGCGTTGGGTGCAACGTCGTCAGATCGCTTGAGCGCGGCTCGCGGTACGCCCCGCCGATGAACGTCGGCGACGCATGCGCGAGCAGCGTGTGGATGATCACAGAGGTCGTGATAAGGATTGCAGTGAAGCGGGAAGTGCTCATGCTGTATGATACGCCTGGATCCCCACACGACACAATCCGCCCCCAGAGATGGCTTTTATGCAGACGAGTCGAGCTCAGCTGGGAGCGGTATAGCGTCTCCGCAAGTGTTTCTCATCAGAGGCGTGCAGCTGCGACCTGGGGAAAGACACTCTGGGATGTGTGCATACCCGTCCAGACCTTGCTCTGCTCTCCTCCGGCACGTCCTTCCGAGCTACTGGAGACAATCGGTACCAAACGTCGATTATTCCGTGCTAGGATGCATTCCCGCGCAGGGGCGGCAAGAGTGAGACCATCTTGAGAGCAGGGAGAATCGTTTTCGGTCAAGCTTGGGTGAAAACGGCGCGGCCTTGCGAGTAACAGTTGTTCGCCAGATAAGTGGGAATTGTCTTTCTATGCTAGATCCGGCTCTGCAGACGGAAACGTTGTGGACATTTCGACATTTGGCCTGTTGAGTCTTGACGCCGCTGTTGTGTACTGACATGATCTCGAGGGCATGAGGACGCGGTACATACATGGAAAGAATGTGATGGCGAATCCGAATAGATCCGAGCGAGTTCCGAATCAGGACAGCAATCGGGATTAGTGATGCGCGATCAGCTAGTCTTTCAAATTTAGCGTCCGCAGTGTCCGCAGCTCTTTAAAATACTCGCGCCGGCATGCACGATGTCTTATTGTCAACATCCAAGGATGTGGTTGGGTATGAAAACTGCTGCCACCACGGCTCAAATGTGAAGGGGTCCACGAGGTCGCGTTCGATGTCATGCTCGATTGGACCTGGGTCAAACTCTTTCCCCCGCAGTCTGTCCATCCCTGAGTGCTCTGCTAGCTGCTCTCACGGCTCGATCTCTATTCACGTTTCAACGATTGTCCGCTGGCTGCGATCACTGTTCCTTCAAACTTTGCCGGCCCATAATAAGCACACGAACGATTCGTTCGAGTGAGTCTCATCATGTCCACTCTTGCCTCTTCTCCTCCTGGTACGCGGGCCAGCTTCGGTGGCGAGGCCGGCGCTGCGCTTGTCTTCCTCGTCGCGGTAAGTGATTCCATGGCCAGCGATCAGTCTCACTCACGCGTGCATACAGTATCTTGTAGTATTCGCGTGGATGTTGTTTGGCTTCTTCACGCATCGCCTGAAATGGCGTTCCCGCTATCTGTTGCTATTCTTCCACGTCACCATCCGGCTTGCATCCCAGGGCTGCGGGATCGCGTTTGGCGTGCTGGGGTTCTCGAACGTAAACGTATTCCTGGCGTTCCTGATTCTCGGTGCCGAGGGCTACTTCTCGCTGGTGCGCAGTGCGCCTCCCCCGCACCCCCGAGTCGCGCCTACCTAGCCAACACTGACCCCGCGCAGGTGCTGTGCGCGTTCCGCTTCCTGATCTCCTGGCACCAGCACAACCTCGCGTCGGGCGAATCCTGGCTCGCGCCGCGCGACGCGCCAACAAGCTCCGCCTCCAAGCTACGCAAGGCGCTGCAGTTCTCGCTGCTCGGCCGCCTCGCGTCCCGAGTCTCCCGCGGCAGCCCGATGGGGCTCGTACACTGCCTCCTCATCGGCGCGAACGTCGCTATCGTCGTGGGCGGGTCGTACCTGGCCGGCGCGGACCTCGCGCACCCGGCCTCGCGCGACACGCGGACGAGTCTGCGCGTGTCGAAGATCGCGCGGTCGGCGGGGCAGAGCGTGTTCCTTGCTATCAATACCGCCCTGTTGTTTGTTATTCTCGCGACGATCCGCGATAACAGGCGGGATGGCGATGCGCGCGGCAGGAAAGGGACGACGCATCCGACGCTGGTCCTTCTATTCATCGCCTGGTTCCCGCTCATTGTGCGGGGCATCTTCGGGCTCTTGCAGGCCTGCGTGTGGAGTGTGAGTCGCTCGTTGTCTGCTGTTGGCTGCCGTTCAGCGCTGATGCTCTCCGCGCTCACAGCTGTCTTACTATAATCGTGCGTATCGCAATACTCCCTCACCTTTCCGGTAAAAATTGATTTCGTTCTAGCTGTGAACTACAACGCAGGAGGCTTCACCTCAAGATTCACTGCACTCGAATACATCCTCGGTGTGCTCACCGAGTGGCTTGCGTGCGTGGCAAAAACCGTTCTGTCCCATCCCGCTTTGGCTCATGGTCATTCGCGCTAGCTGCATCATTCTGAACGCGACATACCTGACGTCCCGGCATGACCCGGAGAAGCGGGCCGTGGCTGGAGTGAATGGGGCAGAGCGCGGCGAAAGTGACGACGGTACATCGCTCAACCGGCTGCACGGCCGAAACGTCGAAGCGTAGATATTCAAGTCCTTGCGAAGGTGCCAAACTTGCCAGTTAACTAATTTCCGTATGAATCTTCTTGGGAATTTTGAGGGAACAGGGTACATCATGAACCGAAGTTCAACTGAAAACAGATCGGGTTAAATGCTGGGAGAATCAAGTCATTTTCTAGAATATGCTAAGCTCAATATGGGGCACTGGGAAGTTGTTGTGAGAGCCGACCACGCTCGATGGCAACCTTCCGCATGCCAGCTTGAGCACAGCCGAGCCCTTGTGAATCATATATTCCTTTATATACTCTCGGAAAACCGGTCGGTCTCTTGTCGCAACGCAGGGCCTGTGATGTTCGTCCTCGGGAGTTGTTTTTTGTTGTTGGAGAAGACAGTCGCAAACGAGACGACGAGGGAGATGGGTCACTACTCCGACTCGGTGGAGTGGATGGCCTCATGCTAGATTGGCAGTCGGAGAAGGTGGAGTGTTGATTCTAGGGTGACGTGGAGGAGACCGTAGTGCATGTACTGTGGTGGCTTTCGCTATAAACGCCTCGATCAAATTTTTGTGATGTGTGTCTCGTGAGTTTTTTCTGCGTCATGCAGTTGAGACGTCTACCCCACGGACATAATCCAAGTTACACAATCATGTTCACGACGATTTTGTGGGATCTTGGTCTTTGTCATATGAACATGGTAAGCGCTTATCCGAGACCGTGGCGCTCAAGGCTCATCCGTAATCGTGCGCACGATGGTTCCCTTCTTTTTCTTGTTACGCAACGCGAGCACGAGCAGCGATGTCTGTCATCGGGACAAGTGCTAACCTGACACGAGCACTCCGCGCGGATTTGTATTCATCGGGCGTGTTCTTAAACAGATAAACGTCTAGAATCGAGCAGTTTGGGACAATCTGAGGTCGAGGATCGGGTGGAGAACAGTTTGTATCTTTTTCTCTCCTGCTCGACTGGTGTAGGATGGATCATGTGACAGATGCACTTGGCTCCGCGCTTGACATTTCTCCCTTTGGCAATTACGCCGCTTCTGGCTCTGTCCGCGTCTGTACAGTGTACGGTAATGCTTGCAGTCATCATCGCCTTGCATCCAGACTCCAAACTTGATTTCCGACTTGTCTCGGGATACGGAGATGGTGTACGCCTTGACGTGCATATTGTCGACAGGTATAAATCCAGCCCTGAATCCCGTCCCAGACACTCAACAACAGCCCCAGTGCATCTTGGTTGTAGATCCCTCTCGCAATGTTCTCCTCCCGGACGCTTCTCCTTCTCACTGCGGCCTCTCGCTTGGCCTACGGTAGCACAATTGGGCCGGTGGGTACTCTTGTAGTGGCCAACAAGACCATCGCCCCGGATGGCCTCCCTCGTGCCGCCGTTCTCGTCGGAGGGACGTTCCCGGGGACACTCGTCACCGGACACATTGGGGACCACTTCCGCCTCACGGTCGTCGATCGACAGCAAGACATCCGTATGCTCGAGCCCACGTCCATCGTAAGCAGGTTGCAAGTCTTTCTTCCCTCGGATCGCTGAGATAGTCCTGGCAGCATTGGCATGGATTATTCCAGAACGGGACGAACTACATGGACGGGACCGCGTCCATCACTCAGTGTCCCATCTCACCAGGGAACTCCTTCACATACGACTTTCCCACCCATCAGGCTGGGTGCGCGCGTTTTCTTTGAGATTTTTCGTCCCATCTGATCCCATCTGGTCTAGGACTTATTGGTATCACTCGCACCTTGCGACTCAATATTGCGATGGTTTGCGCGGCCCGATCGTCATCTACGACCACAAGGACCCCTACCGCCACGCATATGACATTGACGACGAAAACACCGTGATTACGCTTGCTGACTGGTACAACGTATATGCTGAGACGGTCGCCGGTCCCGGGTGAGTAATGCTCGAGGTATTGAGTATCTAGATCAAAATCTGATATCTCGACGATCCAGCATACCCTCGTCGATGCTCATCAACGGTCTCGGACGTACCGCTGCCACGGTGTCGAACACAACCCTCGCCGTTATCCACGTTAAGAAAGGCCTGCGCTACCGCTTCCGGTTGATCAACACGGCCTGCGACTCCAACTACGTCTTCCAAATCGACGGCCATAAGAACCTGACCATCATCGAGGCAGACGGTGTCCTCCACGAGCCATTGAGTGTCGACTCCATTCAGATCTTCGCAGGTGAGCAGCTTTCAAAACTCCTATGCTATCAGGCATTCCATTGACTGCTGCAAGGCCAACGTTATTCGTTCATCATGACTGCGGACCAAGCCGTCAACAACTACTGGATTCGTGCCAACCCAAGCACAGGTCCCACTGGTTTCGACGGGGGAATCAACTCCGCAATTCTCCGCTGTGAGTACACATGCCTGGATCTTCTTGTCCCGTTCTCACCAATCACTTTCAGACTCCGGAGCTAAACATGTTGAGCCGACGACTTCGCAGGATGCCTCGGTCAACGGTCTAGTGAACGAGGTGGACTTGCACCCGCTCGTCAATCCCGGTGCTCCCGGCCGCCCGTTCATCGGTGGTGCTGATGTACAGCTGAATTTGGCGTTGGGCTTCAATCTCGTGCGCTCACCAACGCTTCTTCCCTATATCAGCTTGGAATCTGAAGGAATGACAGACAGCGCTGAAGTTCACGATCAACGGCAATGCATTTGCCGCTCCGACCGTGCCCGTGCTGCTCCAGATTCTGTCAGGCGCACAGAAAGCACAGTCGCTGCTCCCCAGTGGATCGGTGTACACGCTCCCGCACCTTGCGGCGGTCGAAATCACGCTTGCTGGAGGCGTGGTTGGGGGTCTGGTCAGTCGTATTCTCCTCCATTCCTTGATTTGCGAGCTCATCGATTCGACAGCACCCCTTCCATCTGCACGGACACACCTTTGATGTGATTCGCACCGCGGGCAGCAGCACCTACAACTATGTCAACCCTGCTCGTCGTGACGTCGTCAACATTGGCAACGCCGGGGACAATGTGACAATCCGCTTCTTCACGGACAACCGCGGACGTGCGTCTCAATTTCACCGGCCTGCTTCACGTATCGAGTCAACTGATGATTGAATACCAGCATGGTTCCTCCACTGCCACGTTGACTGGCATCTCCAGGCAGGTTTCGCCATCGTGCTTGCGGAGGATGTTCCCGACTGGACGCCGGATCTGATGCCCACTTCGGAATGGAACCAACTGTGTCCCATCTATAACAAGCTTCCGGCATCCATCACGTCTCTTGCTGGATGAGCTCAATGATGAGGTTTCTTCGAAAATTGTTCTTGCAGGATGACCTACTCCTGCTATCACTGGTTGAGGTTGCTAGGCGGGAGGGATGTTGTTTGTCTCTTAGTTTAATCATTCGTTTTACTCCCTGTTAATGTTCAGATCAAACATTCTACTCTGCCAAGTCCAACCGGCTGGCACGTGAATCGGGAGTCTCTACTGTTATGCAAGGTGTTTCTTGTGGGGCGATGCGATCAGGAGTAGCAGTTGATTCATCTCGACGGTCCGTGTTCCCGAGTATGTAGCAACCAATGCCCAGTCAGATTTGGAATTGGCTAGGTCTTCAACGACAGTTCACGGTAGTCAATCATCTTTCCACCACTTAGTCAATTCAATTGCATTCATATCCTTGACATGATAGAGTAACAAGTGCATCATTCAACTACGTTCAGTTTTTGAAATGCGGGATGCTTTTCAAACGGGGTACCCGATCAAAGTGTCCAGCGGTAAGCATCAAGCCGCTGTACGAAGTGCCATCCCCCTGGGATTGAGTTCAGTTCTGAGCATACTTGTCCCGTGGGAAGAGCCCAATATATATACGCACAATCAGACTGGCGGGGAAACCAGGATCAAATGTCAACACATTCTCCAAAAATTCGATTTGGGCCGGGGATAGCGAGATTTCGAGGGCCTCGAGGTTGGATTTGAGGTGTTCGACCTTCCTGCCTCCGATGATGGGGAAACAGTACGGCGCCTTGTGCATCACATAGGCGATCGCGACTGGCGAAAATGGAGCAGATCGATCGGAACTTATTCATCAAAACGCACCTGCAGCGATGCTCTGAGCCCCGACCTCGCCAGCGACCTTCTCGAGCGCATGCGAAATTTTCTTCTCGTTCTCGTTTCTCTCCCATTCCGAGCTCATTATCATGCGTCCCTTCTCTCCAGAGACCCGACGTGCTTCCTCCTCGGCGTCTGTGCGGAATTTCCCTTGCGCGAGGACGTTCCAGGGCGCGAGGGCCATGCCTATTCGAGGTCAAAAATGCGTCAGTAAATGATGAAATAGAAGGAAAAGCGCACTGACCATGTTCGCGGGCCATAGGAAGAATTTCTCGCTCGAAAGATCGGTCCATGACGTTCCACGCGCCCTGATAGATGACGAACGGCGACTTGCCGTGGTCAAGCGCGTACTGGTTCGCCTGAGACACGACCCAGGCGGGCGTGTCTGAGACGCCGAGATAGAGGACCTTGCCCTGCGCGACGAGATTGTGTAACCCGTCCATGAGCTCGCGGATGCTCGTGTCCCAGTCCCACCAGTGGACGTAGAGGATGTCGATGTACGATGTGCGGAGTTTCTTGAGACTCGCATCGACGCTGAGGTGCATTGACTTGACGTTGTTCCCAGCGTAGTTTACCTGCTGCGTGACGTTCCGCCGGGCTTTGAAGTTCATTGTAAACTATTAGATGATGGTTGAGAATCTCTGAAATCATTTCTTGGCTAATGTGTGACATAACGCACCTTGGTTGCGAGGACGATCTGGTCCCGGATGTCCCTCTGCTCCATCCATTCACCGATGAACAACTCGGACGTCTCATCTTGGCTGTGGAACACGGGTCAGCTACATCAACCCCGGGTCATGGAAACATTAAATTACTATGCATTCGCGGTATCGATAAAGTTGCCACCAGCGTCGTAATAGGCGTCCAAGAGCTTGAAGCTGTCCTCTTTGTTCATGGCACCCATCCCGAGCTTTTGCCACTGGTCGCCAATACTCCCAGCCCCAAGCTGCAGCGGCGAGACATGGATTCCAGCGTTCGGGGAGAGAGTCCGATAGACACCGAGTTTGGTGGGCGGGGCAGGCGGGCGATCGAAAAAAGACATGATGGGTCAACTGGGTGGTTTGATCAACGAGCAGATGGGAATATCGAACTTGTCCAGCAGCCGAGTATATGTACTGGAGTGATTCCCCGGGGAAGCCATGGTTGGTCAGCAAATCCCGAGTGCGTAGAGATGGGATCCCGTTTGTCAGCCCGTTAGTTCTTCATTGATTTTCCGTCGCAGCCGGGGTTTGCATTGCAAAGACACGTGCGGCATTCCGGCTGGTTGCTAGATCACCGATGCATGGCTGTGCCGCATTTCTGGAGCGAGCCACCCTCCCTCTGTATTCTCCGCAGAAGAGTATGTAGAAGAGAGAGGTTTGCATTGCAGAGGCTTTGGCAATGTACCGCGTAGTGCGAGAGATCATCGAGTCACATCTGTCATGTGCCGACATTTGGGTAAGTTTCTTGGGCCAAAGACAGGTCATACTGTGTGACTGTTGACGAGCCGTCGGTGGCACTCCACATGAGGAAAACCCCCATGACAGGTTGCGGCAAGTCATCAGTGTAGGTTGACCCATGGGCCATCGACCATCGAACTCAATTTGCGTGGTTGAATGGCTAGATCGTGACTTTGCCGACGGCCCGCGACCGCTTCAATTTCCATGACAGGTTGCGGCGAGCCATCAGTGCAGGTTGACCCATCGACACATCGAACTCAATACGCGCGGTTGAATGGCCAGATCGCCACGAAACTCGCCACTAGACTTTTGATCTCACAAAGCCTTCATCTTTATCATCCTCAACTTACAAGTGGTTGCATTCAGGTTGCATGGCACCACAGCGGCACTTTTCGTCCGCAGCCACTTACGATAACATCCCCACCTTTTTGAGCATCCAACTGTTGAAGAAACCTCGCAAGGCAACAGACAGTTCGACGGACAACTACCAAAACTACGTTCTCACATCTGGTCAATCAGTGGACGCGTCGCTTTAATGTACTCAAGCCAATTTTGTCCGCTTCCTCAAACTGTGTACGCCGGCGCAGCAATAGAGGCGCGGAGGACACCGCCATTCTCAACTGGCCATGCTTCACTTTCTGTTCGAACCGGTTTGATCCGGCTCTTGACGCGGTCGGGCAATGGCATCCAAGATGATTCGTCGACTCCCCAATGCGTAAGTAAAATCAATTATATTCCGTATTTTATATGACAACTCAGGGCCCCCATCTGCTGAAACAGTTTTTCCGTCATATACAACAGCCACGTAAAGCACACGGTTCACGCATCCATCGTGTCCAGCCTAGCCGGTAGGATCAAATCAGCGTGAAACTTTTCATGTGAAGTCAATCTTACTGGAAAAGTGAGGATTTCGCTGCCTATCAACGGAAATCTTCAGTTGAACACCATTTGCTGGCCATAGATCACCACGCCTTCCTAAAATGGCAGTCGGGGAATCACACGTGGTCGTGGAATTTGATCGCATCATTGATGTGCTACGAATTCTGCGCTGTCCTTTCTTGGCAGGGACTCTCCGTGTTCTCCTCCTCTTCTATCTCCACTGGCGGCGCATTCCGTCACATCTCCCCTCCTCTCACTCCTTGCAACTCGAAATAGAAGATGCCGTCGCCGCTGCGCGAGGCTGAGGGCAGCAGCGACCTCCAGCTGCTGCATCGCGTGATCCGCTACATGACGGGCGTCGCCGCCGCGTCGTTCTTCACACAAGTGCATGTCATTGGTGGTGAGAATGTGCCTCGAGAGGGGCCGATCATCGTGTACGTTCTGCTTCCTTGACTGCGTTTCTCTCTGTCCTCGTGCTGCATGGCACTGTGGTTACGCTGCTTCCAAGTACTTGAGCTGACATCCTCCTCCTTGGCAGGACAGCGACGCACCATAACATGATGCTTGATCCAGTCATACTATGTGGGTGCTCATCCTCATCGTGGCTGGCAATGGGATAATTTCGTGGACGCGTGCTTGTATGCGAATGCGTGTGCCGCCTCGAGGTCGGTTACCACGACTACTCACACGAGCATCGCGTCTGCGACCTTCCCGCCAAGCACCACCGCCTCCATCTCCGCAAATCGCACGAACTGAGCCACGTTCACAGCCTACACCTTCCCCTACGCGCGTATCCTCAACTACTGGTCGAAGGCCTCGCTGTTCCTCAATCCCATCGCGGCCTGGGTGCTCTACTCGTCCGGCAACATCCCCGTCGACCGGCGCTCGAAGGATCGGCGCGTGCTGCTGCGCGGGACGATCGAGGCGCTCGAGAAGGGCTGGGCCGTGGCGCTGTTCCCCGAGGGCACGAGCTACACCGAGCCCCGCATCATGCAGGTGAAGGACGGCGCGGCGTGGGCTGCGCTCGAGTACGCGCGCATGGCGAAGGAGAAGCGCGAGCGGGGCGAGGGCTCGGGGCAGCAGGTCAAGATCGTGCCCGCGGCGATCGTGTACACAGACAAGACGAAGTACCGGAGCAATGTGGTGGTCGAGTACAGCCCGGCGATCAGCATGGAGCCGTTTCTAGAACAGTTCTGCTCGGATGAGGAGGGCGCCGCGAAAGCTGCTGTGAAACGACTCACGCGCGCAGTGGAGGCGTCGCTGGTCAGTACGACGATCAATGGCCCCGACTGGGACACGTTGTATGTGGCGCGAATGGCGAGGGATATCATGTGGGAGGACGGCATCAACCTCGATGACTGGGTGGCTGTTTCTCAGACGTAAGCCATTCGTTGGTGATTGTGTACAGCGCTCAGTGCGATAACAGACTGGTCGATCTCTTTGCGACGCCGGATGCCACGTCCAACATGCAATCGGTCAAGCGGACATTGCTCGAGTATTACTCTCTCCTCCAGTCAACGAACCTGACCAACTCGGTGCTGTCAAGTCTGCCGCTTCCACGAACCCTGGATCCAAATACACCTACACCGCTGCCGGGTCGGATACGAACTCTGCTGATCCTGGTTCGGGAGACGGTGACTGTGCTGATCCAGCTGCCGTTTTTCCTGTTCCCGTTGGTCGTGTACATGCCCGTGTACTTCATGGGCCGACTCGGAGCGCAGATGGTCGAAGACGAGGAAGAGACGCAAGCACAGAACAAACTTGTGTTTGGAATGCTCTCGATGGTGCTGATCTACCCGACTGCGTTTTTCTTCCTCTGGGCATTCTTCACGTATACGCGCACGGGTGCATTGATCGCAGCTGCGACATTGTGGCTATTTGCCAAGTACCACGACTCGATGATCAATGGTTTGCGGTTGGGCTGGGAACATGTCGGCTTTTACTGACTGTTCCACAGCCAACTATCAGAAGGCCAAGCGCCTTCTCGCGACATGGCGCGTGATCACCGCTCTGTGGGGGCCCAAACGCTGGGACCTGTCGCTCGCGGCACTGACGCCCTACATGACTCCCGTATTCCCTAAAGAGAGCGACTACGTGACGAAACCGCGTACCCCGGTCCCCGGCTCGCCGGCCGTGACGCCGATCGTCCTTCCGCCGGAGCCCCAGATCGGGAACAAGGCCGAGCCGCGCGTGCAGACGCGTCCGAAACGGCGCCGCCCGTCGTCCCGGCGCATCATGCGGCACGTGCTGCGCGCGCGGGTCGAGGCGGTGAAGGCGCTGGCGATGTTCTTTGAGCAGCTGCGGGCGGAGAAGGACAAGAAGGTGGCGGCGAGTGTGTTCCTGGCGGAGACGTACGGCGGCGCGGTTGCGGATGACCAGGGTGGTTGGAGGTATGCCAGCGAGGTGGTGCAGTTCTTGACACGGCGGGGTGCCAAGATTCCGCAGATCAAGGGTGTTAGGATCGACGGCGACTGGGCTGCGCTGACGAGTGATGTCGACTCTGATGCCAATTGAGCTTGTGCTGGTGTTTGTTTTTGTTTCACTTAATGTAGTTGCTTCGCCTGGTAATTGCAATCATAATTCCGTTGAACGAGCCAGGAAGTGGACAGGCGAGCTTGCGGCGTCTTGGTTGAACTCTCAAGAAAATCACAGAACTCGAAGTGCCAGGTGAACGATGAATATCGATGAATAACGACAGAAATAACCCTGATGATAACAAGCCCAGTAGACTTTGATCCTACACGAATCATGATCAACATCTAGCCAAGTATTCTAAAGCGCTGTTTCTAATTCAGCGCCAGCGGCGTGGACTTGAAACCGTAACTGACAACAGGTTACCCAGCGTCGTGTCTCTCCGCGGCTGACGTTTCACGGGCGGCACGTGAGCCCTTCAAGTTGAGAGTAATCTGCAAGACCCTGTGAAGATCTGGATGACAATCTATGGACACTGCGAGGCGACGCACGCTGTTGGTTCAAAAATAATGCAACTGCGTGTGTTATGAGTCACGGCATGCATCATGTCGCCGAAAATGCCTCGAAGCACCGGCAGACGCCGGGCGCGCGCCCAGGCCAGGCCAACCTTGTTTGACTTGTGACAGCATGCGAAGACGTGCGGTGGACAACACTTCCGCACTGGACCCGAGTTCGCGGACGGATCCCCGTAGGCTCCCGGGTGTGTGCTTCGAGACGTGTGAGGGCAGGTACATACTGTACATACACAATTACGCGCGGGCGAGTGTCGCTTACGGCTGTGCCTGTGCGCTCGAATCGCCGTGCGCGGTGCCTCACCGCTCTTGGTCCGGGATCTCGCGCGCGGGCTGGAGGCTCGAAGATGATAATGGATGATGGATGATGCTGATTACTGCACACGGCACATTATCGGGCTCACTGGGCGTGGAGGCCCGGCTGCGCGATGACGCAGGTGGCGTTTTGGCCTCTCCCCCCTGCGGGTGTTGTGAGGCGCTTGGGTGGTCCGGCAAGCCGCAGGTGGCGGAGACTCCGTAAGCGGGGAAGCACGATGTCTGACAGCGAAGGAGGAGTTAGCGCTGGAATTAGGCACGAGAAAGAGTGCGGGAAGCATCCGCCTGGTATTCTCTGTCACAGCTGGGAGTGGCGGAGGCGCGGCAGCTGCGGCCGTGGGACGCGACGTCGTGGAGGATTATGTATGTACCCATCATTGGCACGTCCGGAACAGTGCTAATTTGAGAAGGTCCAGATCCGGTCTGGAGCACTTGCATTGCAGCGACGGGGACGAACAACAAGTGCGAGTCTTTCAGAGCTGACGACTGTTCTGATTGCGCGAGGCGCCTGGCTTGCCTTCATCCGCGGACCAACGCCAAACTTGAAATCAGGGGTCCGAAGCGCTGATGCAGTTTGCACCATGCGTGTTGGACACGCTCAATTGGCGACGCTCCAGTAAGCAATTATCCCATATCAGTGCCTGGCGATGAGCTCCATCAAGTGTCGTTGTGCGCAGGGGGGGCAATCAGGGAGTCTCGCGTAGCATGAATTCAGCAACTCTTGCTGTGAGACTTCGGGATCAGGACCGCGAAGACGTGGGGGTAGTTCCAACCCTCGAAACTAACTAGTTGCCGCGAGTATTGACAACTCGAAGAGCGCTTCAGCACCGTAGTTGTGCGTTCGTCCGCTCAATCCGGACTTCTTGCACGCTATACGAGAAGCCCTTGAGCCCCTGCTGGTGTATCCAAGTCCGCCATCACGTATCGAGTCTGAGAGCCACGCAGCTCGCTTGAAGTTACCACCGAGTGGGCCTTGCGTTTGAGTCAAAGTCAGCTGTTGGATTGGGTTTACATTGCGAGACAGAGCGAGATGAAGACCGAATTCATTAATAGACCGATGGCTTCATTGATTGAGGGCGCACAAAGTAGACTCGCAGGCACGTAAGTAGGTTGAATGAAGTATGTGTGCTATCTATGAGCATGCAACTTACCAGGTACTCTGATGACTACGGAGCACTGCCCGGTAAGCGCGTGCTTGCTTCGTCGGAGATTGTAAGGACCGAGGAGGCCAGATATTCTTACCGATCCGTGCGATCTTCCAGTCGTTTGGCAGCGACGGCGGAAACAAAGATTGTGTGTTCAGAGCCCTCGAGCCAGGTACTGCAGACCCCCCATTGCCTCCAGCAGCGGTCACTGTGAAGAAGCACGCTCCTTCCGTGAACATAGATAATGAAATATACGTGCCTGGTGAGGGAATGACCCGAAACCGAGATTGGTTTACCTCGTAGAAATTGCCTTGCTTGTCAAGGCTTCTCCAGACCCTAAATTGTTGCACACAAATCAGACGTAATGTTCCTGCATCTGATCCGATCAACTTGTCTTTACCGTTGTATGTACGCACGTAGGTTCGGAGCAAGCCTGCTCCGGGCCGGCGAGCCGGCCTTGTCGGAGACAATTGTTGTGGCCCCAACATGATCATCATCACGATGATCAGTACAAAGAATGATGGTCAGGCTTGATCCGAACCTAGTACGCACGCGTCTCTTGTGCTCTCGTGCTCTCGTTTGCGCAGTGCGCTTTCCGCCGTGGTTTTCACCCGAGTGCATTGTAAACAAATGTATTGTAACAAATGTACCGAGTGACTCGTATTGATGTATGTATTGTGTTTGTGAATGATGCGCGAGCAAGCAAGGCAGTTGCCGGCGGAGGCGGCGCTCTAGTGAAGAGATAACCGAACGAAAGTGCGGGGAAATCACGCCTCCCCTGATGGCATCTGATGCATCTCCACGTGACTTTGCATGCTCTCACGCTGACGTAATGACGAGGTTTTCTCTCCGGAGATTTTGGTTCCCCATCCATATGTGATCATGGGAACCGTGCGTGTTCCTAGCTCGTGCTCGCAGCCCTTCTCTTCTATTCTGCTCGTCCAACAATCCCCCGACCGCAGCCTCGGGTCTTTTAAAAGGCAGCGAAATGGAGCGCTTTTCGGCACGGTCCGCCATCTTTGTTCGTTGGGCTCAGACAACAGCCGCGGTAGCACGATCAGGGCATCTCAGATCCGAGGGACGGGAAGCAAGTGATGGCTCGAACAGGACGACGAGCGAATGCGCGCTCGAACCGGGGCGAGTGTGCTGGAGAACCACGAAAAAGGCTCCGATGTCTGCACTTGTCAGCTCGTCGGCGCCCGTAGCGATACCTCAGCGGCCGGCCGGCCTGTATGAATGGAAGGGGGCATCACTGGGCCAAAACGCCTCATCCCGTCGCAGAGCCCGATGCGTTCGCAGTGCCCAGGATCAGATCGCGTGGACATCAGAGGCCCGACTCGAGCTTGAGAGTGGGATAACTGTCTTGGGGCAGCTCAGCCAGTCCAGGCCGAGACAGCGACGCTCGGACGATCCGCAAGTCATCAGCATTCCGGCCTCGGGCCCGGCTGATCCGCGCTGGAGGACTGGGAAGAGAAGAACGAACAGGCTACTGCATGCATCCGTTGCGCTGTTTGCAGATCGCGCTTGAGCGGATGGGCGTCTATGGGCGCCGGATAGCCCCTGACCTGAAACCACCGCCGTCGGCCGAATGTCTAAAATGCGGAACATCACATGGCGAAGAGGCGTCCATCCATCCATCCATCCAACCAACCATGCTGGGATTCTGTATCCAACCAGATCCGAGGAGAGGACGAGTCAGAGTCATTGATGTTCGTCCCGCACTGATAACATTACTCCGGGGGGAAGATAGGCTGGTCTGTCTGACTGTGCTGTCGCTGTCGCACCCCCGTTCAGCCATCAATCAGAGAACGCACCCACAGTGTGCCTAGCGCCAGATTTTCGTGCAGAAGACGCGGACCGGGGTGTGTCTAAGCGGGGGGGAGGGCTCAAAAAGGACACGTCACATGCGACATGTGCCGCGGGCTGGGGTGACGTCCGCAGTCGAGCAACCAGCAGCAGCTGCAGCATCGATCGGTTCGATAAGGGTCGCGTGCCCGGTCGTTATCAGTCGGCCGTCGAGCTAGAAGTGCTGCGGAGCTCCGCAAGTCGAACTGTACCTAGACAGATGCAGGTCAAACGATTGGCGTTCGCTGCGATGCATCTCGTTCTTGTGGCACTTGCCAGGTATGGAAGGTTCAATGAGCAGAAAACCACCAAATTTCCTTGGCTGCTGATGGGCGGGTGCTTACAGAGTCATTCCAACAGGTATCGAACAGCAACTCTCAGTGTAAGCGATGAAATTTACCTCTCGCTCTCAGATGCAAAACTGCAGCTCAAGATTGCTCAATACATACGGCAATTGCCAGATATAATCAGATAAGCGCAGTCAGCGGATCACCATTCGAATCGGAAGGAGCAGAAATCAAGGGCCTGAAAACTGGCACTGGAAGGCCAACCGTCGCGCGATGGTTGTTGTTGGCTCAGCGCGAGGTCTCACGCACGTCACCGGTCACATGGCCGAGCAATAACCGAGCGCGATGGGTACACCGCGCTCCGGGACATCGTTGAACGTCGCACTTGCAAAGGCTGCTTAGCAAGTGCCCGGAGGAAGCGCGCTGACGCATGTCCCTCCCCCCGCCCAGGCGACGGGCCGGGGGCCTGGAATCATTGCGCTCTTATGTTCTCGCGTCCGCCATGATCAAGCGAAGACTGGACTGGCGGGGAAATATGGCCGAGATGCAGGACAAGAGACTCAAGAAGTTCTGTCTGTCGAGGCCGCCGTATATATCAGGCACGAGATGTTTAAGCCATTGACAAACGATACACCGGACAGAGGTGTGCCTACTCATCCGCGGCCCTGCTGACTTTCAATTCAAAGCACATGCATATACGGGGTGGGGGCAGTTGGGGGCGGCTCAAGGAAGCCCTCTGTGTGATGCATGCATCCACCGGCCGATTCCGTATCAGACGACATGCATCCATGTCGACGACATCCACATCTCGTAAGGGTATGGATGCACACGCAAATGCAAACGCAAACGCAGCCCACTCTGATTTAAGATTCTGGGCCCCGTGGATCTGGGTGACGCGGCGGCTGACAGCGACACCGCGGGTCTGATGGATGCGGGTGCAATGCACATGTGCGGGAGGCGACGGTGTGATCGTCCTGGCAGCGTTTCCAGGACGTTCCCACTCCAGCTTTTCCACGCTCAGTCTAAAAGTAATCAGTGACAGATTCGTACGGCCCTCCTTTGGCATTATTTACCGTCACCCATTAACTGTCACACACGCTGGGTCAAGGGAGAGAAAGTCACCAGTGATAACCATCGTGGTCGGTCATTGTGACTGCCGTAGTCTCTAAGTTGCGTTTTGTCGCTTGGGCGGGTAGTTGCTGATTGTACTGGGCTCGAGGAGCAAAATCATGCGGGTCGTTGATCCAGCTGTGAAGTACATATACAGATCCAGAGCCGAAGCGTGAGTCCCAACAGTTTGGAGGTAATTCTCGTAAATTGTCAGTGCACTTGATATTGAAAATGATTCATCCCTGGGTCACTGAATCATTGGTGCCGACGCGAAAGTACACCACGAGCATTATTCTCGTGTCTTCCATACCACTTCCCCTGTCACACACTGCCGATTTAACCGTGAGGACAGCGCTCTTCCTCGTGCGACGGGCTCTCTCGAGCACGCGCGATCGCAATTCCATCCCAATCACATCAGCGCCTGATTCTGCCTCCCCCGCTTCCAGAACGCCGCACGGTGGGGACGCATCGCACGCCCGCTTCGCCTTCCCAGAAGCCTCGTTCTTCGCCCTGGACGCAGCGGCGGATGTCGTCATGTCTCTGATCCTGGCAAGTTTGAGCGCGTGGGCGTGTGATGCACAAGCGAAAGAGACGGGCACGCCGCACAGTCCCGCGCGTGTCACATCGTCACGTCACTGATTGTCCGGCGGCCGCATCCCTGGCTGTGATCTGATGTCTCGACGATGCGTTTGTGGACTTGAACTGGGGCGCCCGTGGGGTGCCGTGTGTGCTCTGTCACCCGTCAGCCAACGGGATTGAATCTCCGGAAACGATCTCACGCCCTCGCCTGCGCTGGCGGCGGTCGACCGTTCTTGCGCTATACTTCATTATCACGGAGGTGTGTGTGACGCTTCTCAGATGGAGCAGAGTCTGACACTTGAGCAGCAGGGATGTCAGTGTCCAGCCGGCCCGAGGTGCGATTCCGGCTCCTCGAATCTCCTTGGGGCTCAGGTCGTTCTTCTGAGACGACTACTTTGCGTTCTGCATGTGCTCCCTCCATCTATGGTGAATAAATATCTGCCATGTGCGTGGTGTACCCGGCGTCTCGTGACTCGAGGTCCGTCGGAGTTTAGGTCTGGACGCGCACTGCTTTCAGGGCCTGCCCGAGGACGTACATTGAGGGTGACTTCGCATTCAGGTCTATAGCGACGTGGGATCCATGTGTGTCAGCAGGTCATCGTAATGCAGCACATAGTGACGAGCACTCGAAGACTCGATTGACTGCACAGTACATATATTACTGACTGTACGCGAGTGCTATAACTAGTGGCATATCCAAATGACTTGGTATATCGTTCGGATACCACGATCCTTGTAATAAGAATGTACGCCATCATCCAGGCCTAAATGTACCCCCAAGAGCAGCAGAGCGAATGGAAATCGAGAGCAGGAGCAGAGCAGCAACCAGAAAGACACAGAGCAGACAACAACAGGCACCCCACTTCCACCTCGCGACGTTTCAAGACTCCAGTGCCGCCAGTGGCAGCGCTCGATTCAGCCGCGGATCCTTCGTGCGATGGTGCTTGACCGTCGGGGGCACCACATTGACTGCTTTGATTGTGGACGCATGCATGATCTCGAAAGCGGAATTATCCATCGACGAGCCGATAGTCGCAGCGAGCGAGGCAGCAAAGTCATCGCCATCAGTCCCGACGTCAAACGGATGTGCCGCCACATCCCCCATCGCGAGGCCAAATTCGTATCCTAGCCCCAGTCCCCCCACGTCAGGGAATCCTTCCGCTGCTGCTGCTGCGCCGTCCTCAGCGACACAGTCAGTGCCGTCCAGCACACCCGGTGCCGCCACGGTATCATCGCTGTCCGCGCCGATCGGCACGGAGATGCAGACGTCTATGTCCGTCACGGAGACAGCTGAAGACGTGGACGCCGACGACTCTTTGCTGTCCGGCGGCGAGTCCTTGCTTCCCTCCTGTTCGCCAGAAGCCTCGGCCTCCGTGTCGGTCTTCTTCTTCCGCATGCCCCGACGGCTTTCCAGAGGGTATGTGCATTCCAACGCTCGTCGCTGGCACTGGCTGTGAGAAAGGAGCAGGGAGAGGAGTAGTCAGCAGGCATGCCCAAATACAGAAAGGTCGAGAAAGTAAGAAAAGTTCAGTGCGGATGCTAAACTCCGCGAAGCCTCGGTAGAAAGCCAAAACACACGAAGACGAGCAACGAAAGGTAGCAAGCGGAAAGGCTAGTCTATCAGACGACCCCGAAACATCCTGCGTACGTATCGACGCAACTAGCATGAAGCTAGGGCGCGCGACCCGAGATCGGTGGAAGGCCCGATGAAATGAACGTGGACAAAGAAAGTACGCCAGCAAGCGAGTGCAAACGTGAAGTGAAAGAGAAAGAACCAACTCACTTGCACGCAAACTTGTCCGGCTTGCCAGGAACAGGCATCGAAGGCCCACACGCGATCTTTCGTCCTCGGCAGAACAAACAGGCCAAGGGGGGTTTCTTCTGGAGTTCCTTGACCGAGGTGATCTCCACGCCAGTGGCTGCGGCCGCGGCCGCTGCCGAGGCCACTGCCATCGTCGAGTCCTTGCGCCGCGGAGAAGATGGAGAGCGCCGTTGCTTGCTCGACCCGGGCATGGGCTCCTCGCCGGGAGCACCGTCGCCCTCCTCCTCGGCGAGCGCGAGCATGACTGAGCGCGGTGGGCTGGCCGGGTAGTGCCCATTGCGACGTTTCTCCGGTGGTGGTCGGCGAGGTTGACGCTCACGGGCCTTGCGTTTCGCCGAGGACGAGAGGTCGGGCGGAGACGACGGCGACGATGAAGAAGCGACAGATAACGGATCCGTGTGGGAGCGAACGGACGTCGAGGGGAGAAGAGACGACGGATGGAGCGAGCGGGGCTGGTGCCTCGGCATGCCCAAAGCAGAGGCAATGAGTGACGACGAAGGGTGCGAGAAGACCATCGGAGGCGGCACGTCGATTCCGGGGTACATGTCTACCTCAGCTATCGGAGCTGAGGCAAGTATTTGAGGCGCTTTGTAAGCTGCCAGACGTGTCAGTGCGCAAGCACAGATGCGGAGATAAAGAGCAGCACGCACGATAGTTTAAGCTGCCCCCACGCTCTGCGACGAACGCACCCAACGGTTTACCTCCAAACACTGTCGGGTCAGAATAGATTGTCTCGAACGGACTGGCGGCGGAAAGCGGGGGCGGACTCGTGCCTTCCGCGCTACTGGGCGACGGATACACGCCATTAGGGCTAGCGAGATGATTCGTAGGAGAGCCGAACGCGGCGCCGGGGCTCGCAAACGAGGAAGTAGTCGATGTCGGATAGTCCGCATTGGGACTAGCATACCCTGCGTTGCCCAAGGCCAAGCGAGGCAGTAGTTGATGTGAAGCGGCCGGTGCCTGGGCCGGAGAAAGGATGGATAATGGGGGCGCGACTCGAGGCGACGTCGATTCGGAGGGCTGAGCTCCCCAGAACATCGGATTCTCGGGATTCGGTGGTGGGAGGAACGTGTGAGGGAACCGTGGGTCCTGAGGGGCGTACTGAGTGGGTGCGTGGACAGCTGAGTAGGGTGACGATGGCGAGGTGGCGATGGGCGCTGGGCACGTGGAGGAGACAGCCAGACTGCTCGTGGTCATCCTGTGTGGGGCAAACATCCGCGCGTGTTCGGCCTCGACTCGAGCGGATTGTGGAGTGGGCCGGGCTGCAGGGAATGTCTTGTAAAACAGTTCATCGCTGGCCGCGTACAGCTCGTCCATCCTCGACCTGTTCATTGCCATCGCGTGTCCAGCGGCGAGGGAAGCTAGGGGAATAAATGAAGCGTACTGGAGAGGTGCAGAGGCTCGGGATCGTGCCGGGCAGCGTACAGCAATGACCGAAATTAGCAGAAAGGTAGTGATTACAGCATGTGCCCACTATATAGCAATTTGCTTCCGGCCCGATCTCATCTTTTCTGGCCGCGTCACACGTAACGTTACATCTCTCGTCACGAACCACCCGATTTTCACCCCGATCCCTCCAGCCTGATGCGGACGCTGACATAAAATCTCACATGCATCCTAAACAGGCATAGTCCCTGATTTGGGATGCGATTGATGCTGGACGCTGAGCAATCACGCATGCCTGCCAAAGAGTTTGCGGGAGGTATGGAATCCCGATGCTTTTGATTTCGCCTTCTTCCCTCTGTCTGACGTCCCTGCGACGTGTCCATGCAAACTCTGACGCCCCTGCAATTGTGGGTCCCGGTGACGAGCGGCCCGAGGCCCTCTGTTCAGATTCTGCTCGTTTTCAAGACTAAAAGTGGAGGATAATCACATGTTGGTTACTGTGGCCCATTACATATTATTGCTTGCATTTCGGCGCGCTCCATCACTTCTATGATTCGAAATGGCGCGAGGTAGTGACTGCAGCATCGTGCGACAGTGGATGAAGCAAATTTGAGTCTGCTGCATCTCGAGTTCGATAGGCTGCGCGGCAATGAGCAAGTTGCGAACGTAGGCTCAGGATTCTGCCAGCCACAGCCAATCAAATCAATCCTTATAGACAGTAATTGAGATGACTCAGATAAGCGAAGAGTGCTCAACTCATGCCAAGCATCACCCCTAAGAACTACCCAACCGTCGCTTAGTTCAGTCCAAACGACCCACCTCAAAGCTCGGGGGCGAGCGTGGAAGTGACCTCTGCGAAGTCGTGCAAGGTGGAATTATTAAATGCTCTCCTTGTATAATGCACTCTAGCAGTCGCAGATCTATGCATTTGGTCTGCGATTCGATGAGAGTCGTTCCCACACCGTCCAAGCGTCGCTTGGCCGCCTTCGTTACGCTCACTGCGCCCGCAGGACACGCTTTGCATCACAGTAGCAATAATATATGCCCATGAAAACGCGTAGATTTCTGCTCCAAAGAATTGGACTGTACCGCGACGCGCACTGACTCACATCGGATTCGAGCGAGCACGGGCAAGCCGAGCATCAACAAGTTCCGTCGCCTAGATATCGGAAATGGGTGCAGCACCAAAGGCTAATACGTAGTGTTTTGTAAGGTACGTGCAATCACAACGGAATGCTCTAGTTATGCCGGTACGTCACCGCAGAGTCTTATCAGTACACATTGTTGAAAGCTACGAGTCTGTTTCTCGCTTCGATTCCTGCGGCAGCCGCAGAAATCGGGGACAATCCTCGCAGTCTGCGGTCCACCCTCCGCGCATCTGCAAATCCACGCCTCTCCGGCCGCCGTGTGTGAGAAAATCAACGCAAAGACCAACGAAAGAACACGCTCGCACCGGCTTCTTTTCTGCGACGATAACAGAATGTCCACCGTGGCAGGCCGTCCGTGGGTAAGTAGCCGAAACGGTCTGAAAGACACCGGGCAGATCCCAGTTGCCCGCGCGCGCCGAGGCGTGGATCAGTGGCACGACTGACTGGAATCGCGATTGCTCGTGGACACACTGGGGGAGGGACAAACAAGCGGATGCTATAGAGCACGTACTGCAGCCAATAGGCGGTCCAGCCCTGACACTGGGCGTGCTGGGGACAAGCCAAGATTGCACCCGAGATGATACCAGTGATAGTGTGCCGCGGCTGTCGGTCGAAGCTGCAGCAAAAGGGTGAGGAGGTTATCGACTTGTTCAGGGTTCCAAAGCCGCGAGCTTTGAGCGGCCCCAAGCGAATTGCAGTGCGAAATGAAGGACAGGACAACCCCACATCAGCCATTCTGCCAGCACGGACCATGGCAGCCGATATTCTGGCTATAGAGTTTGGGGCAGCTGACGTCGGCAGAGTTAGTGCCAGCCTGGAAAGAGGTCCACGTGAGAGGAGACTGCGTCGTACAGAGCTCAACGACGGGGTCACGCGGAGCCCAGCGCGTGACAGACATTGAGGTCCGGAGAGGGACATGAGAGTGGGATGTGAGGGGCCAATAGCCGAAGAAGGGTCGACCAAGCAGTCTATCGCAGAGAGATCCCGGAACACCAGGAAAGCCGCTCGGAGGGAGGTGTCACCACGCACGTCGCACCATGTCGTCGATGACCCGAGGCGTCCCAGCAGATAGGCTCTCGACCGCTTGAGCAAGGGATAGAACCGCTGCCCGTGGCGTTGATGGGTGACTCGTGTAGACGGGGGGCATGTAGTTGGGCTGATGGACTGTCGACAGCTGCGGACTCGCTGGAGTGCCGGCCTATCCCGATGATCCCGGGAATACCCGGAGATTATCCCGAGACCACCGATTCTTCCCGCGACGCGCTCGGGTCAGCAAGCTGTCCAGTGCTTGTAGCGAAACAAAAGTCTGTTGAAGATCATCCGTGAATCTCATGTTCATAGCCCATGCTTATCCCTGGAAGCCCATGATTTCGGTACATGTCTGGACATCCGCATGTCGGACGACGGCCGGGTCCGATCCAACATTCTCGGTAAAATAAACGCATCGACCGAATCGAATCCATCTCGGAGCTTTTTACTGCTTCTCGCGTTGTTGCCTAACGTCGAACGAACGCTCAATAAACAAGTTCCCACTCCACCTGCCGCCATATGTCATAGCCCGGGTGTGTTACCGACATGTCGGTTTGTGTGCGTATTTCTGTGCACGAACACTGCCCATCATACAGATTGGCGTCATGAAGTGCCTGTGGCGGGCAGATCTTGGGCCCAGCTGTGACCGAGCTCATCTGATTCAGCCATCTCACGTGATCGTTGTTCAGCGGTGCGAAGCTGGGGATCCTGTTTATGGTTTCTCAACAGTGTGTGATCGACCGATTGCGTTTGAACGGTTGAGACTCTCTCAAGAACTTTCCAGGATCATGTCACTGAGGCATGCGACTCGCAGGCAGCGTTGACCCACTCCACATCTTTCCGGGGAAAGCAGAGAATCCTGCAGGGTATCCAATCATGCGCCTTATGTCGGCAGGGGCAGACTTCAAGAAAAGATCACTCGGAAACCGAAGCAGACTGTGATCATCACATGGCAACCTTCATGGGGATTGATGACTCTGAGCCGCGGGCATCGAACGGGAGAGCAGCCAGCCATGGATCGCATATTGCTGCACACATAAACATGTGCTTGTGCAAGAGATTCTTGAAGGCCTCCCGCCGGGATGAGACCGAACAAACAGTACACTTTGGTCGAAACATGAGATTTCAAGGCCCCTGAGACCTCCGCGCAAACGGAGGTAAGCCGCATGTAGCTGCCACAACCGACTGGGAAAACCGTGTTCGCGGAGCTTGAATTGTGCATGTCTGAATAGATAGATGTGATCTGCCAAGCCTGATCGCGAATCGGGCATGTGTGTTCAGGTCTGCGTTGATCAAAGGCGGGTTTAAGAGCTCGAATATGGGGAATTGAGATCGATGACACTTGAATGGACTGGGAGCATCGATGTATCGATATGTTGATCTTTGGAGTGGATGGTTATTGACTCGGACACGTGTGATCCGGAACCCGGATAGAAAAGATATCGGCTACATCCTGCTTTTGAGACCCAATCAGCGCTAGTCTCTTCCAATCCAATTGCTGGCCTTCACTCCAAAATGCCGTCCCTGAGAAGTGCGCGATCGCCTCCGGTTGTAACCTGCTGTGCCGAGGAATGGAAGGTGTGAAGAGCACTGCGCAGCCAGAGCTATGAAGTGGGTTGGGTACTTGTTCGGCGGAGATCAAATCTGGAAATTGGTCCCACGGAAGTATTTCATCGATCAGGATCGTCAGACGCTAGCAGATGCTAGCCGTACTGTGCTTTCTGGTCAGCTGCGCTGCCACTTATCTAGTTGCTTTCACCATGCGTTCAGTCCAATATGGAACGAGCGGGCGGCCAAAACACATCCAGGGCGGCGCTGGATAGTCTGCCGCGGCAAGTCCAGGCCGAGTCAGGGGTAGTATTGTCTTCCCGTTTCTATTCTCGAAAGCGAGATTCCGCAACAGCAACGGATCACCCAGACGATCTAAACCTCACAGTCGTTCAGCGCTAGTAATAGTGCATGCTTATCCGCTATGGTCTCTTCCATATCGCTCTCGCCAGAGAACAGGTTGGCCATGGTAAGGATCTCAGCTGTTGGCTCTCCTAGCGCCGCATATTTTTGTTCCCACAGCGCGACATGGAGGAGCGGGTCCTGTCGAATGAGTGCTTATGTTGTCAGGCTCGGATAGATACGCCTCTGCTGGCATTCGAAGGCGGCAGACGGCGTTCCAGTGACGAGAACTGCTCAACTCAACAGTCAGCGTGTGATCTGAGATCTGCGCAGGCGACAGAGAAGGGAGATGAGTATCGCTGGATGAGCATAGATGAGGCAAGTAGTGAGTCGGAGTGCGGCGCCGGTTTCGATGGGCAACCCCTGCGGCTGCACGGTTGATCAGAATTCTAACCCACCCTCTGCTTTGCTCGGTACCTTGTTCCCAAATAAGGATCCACACCGTAAAGAAGCCTGAGTTCCACGGTCCCATATCCGCTCCCCCATCGACGTGTGCGCGCGCCCGCGATATGCGCCAATCAGCGTCGGTACAAGATTCAGAATTGACGACACAGCCGCTGTGCGTACGGAGCGACTCGACAGGGAGCAAATCAAAGAACGAGCCGGGAAAAGGGTGGTACGCATCCGTGGGCGCGCACACAAGTCATCCAGTTGAATCGAGATACCTTGCGCCTCCCGAGAACGCAGTGATTCCGAGTTCGAGAGAAAATTTAGAGGCCCTGGGAGAGACAGAAGAAGCGATACATTCCGGGGTTCTTCCTCCACTCTCACGGCGCGCGCCATCGTTGGAAACCTGAGAACGTGTGCGGTGATACTGAACTATTTGCACAGAGTAGTCAGCGGTCACTAGTCACTCTTTTGCTCGTCATAGTCTAGCTGTCATCAACTCATGTTGACGTCATTCGAGTGCGTCATTTTTGGTACTGGCTAGGAGTGTGAGCCTACCACTAAACTCATCACTCGTCACGAAAACCAACACGTCTAGCAAGCTTAGCCAGTGGTGAAACCACGACCCAACTGAAGCAATCGGTAAGAATCTCGTGACAGCTGATAACTATGTTGATCCCTTGCTCAGTCCAACAGTCAACTGCGCAAATATCTTGGCATCGGTTCCATAATCCTTTCCTTTTCTGGATGTTTCTCGTCATTTATGCCCCACACAGAGTGTGCTCGAAGAAGTCGGGAAAACTAAACAAACGTGATGAGGGAGGTGTCGCTGTCGGCTGCGCTGCACTGGAATACTTAGTTTCACTCCCTATATCAAAGCGCTCTAACAATCACTGCAGAATTGCAAACAACCTCTGCTAGGCTACTCTTCCAGAGTACATGAACCGATCTTGGATAGCCTGCCACATAGTCCGTCCGAGCACACCGTCATTTAAACACCCAGCTAGTGTTGTCCCAGGTCGGGTCGCGACCCGCGACCCGACCCGAAACCCGGGTCGCAGCGACCCGACCCGAGAGGTGGGTCGGGTCGGGTCAGAGACCGGGTCGGGGTCGGGTCGGGCTATCTGCGCGACCCGACGACCCGGGTCTCGACCCGGGTCACGTCAGGTGCATTGACACGTGAGTCCCTGGAGGTCTGCGCGGCACCCTGCAACGCAAGCGTGGGGTTCTGGATCGCAGCCACGAGCCTGCAAATGTGACAGGCTGTTGATTTTGACGTTCCCACCTTTGTCCCACCCTGCGGACAACCCCGCGATCACGCCCCGCACAAACCCTAACCTGAATTCCAAGCATGTGATGGCTGTCTCGCAGATGAACCCGATGAGCAAGAGGATGACGAAGACATCTAGAATATTGTTCAATGTCTATTTCTCGCTCACATACAACACTGCATACAAAATGTAATGCAATTTTTGTGTAATCTTCTGACCTCCCGACCCGGGTCTCGACCCAGACCCGACCCGCGACCCGACCCGACCCAGTTCCCTCGGTCGGGTCGGGCAAAATCCCTCGACCCGACCCACCTCTGACCCGACCCGACCTGCCTCTGACCCGACCCGACCCGACCCGGAACAACACTACACCCAGCCTGAAGGGTCAACGCGAATCCAGATTTCCAACGCGGGGCTTCAGCGGCCAGTGTATCTTGCACTGACCATACGAGCTTTGGTTCAATCTGGGGCACAGCTTTTAAGAAACACAAGTAGAATACGGATAACAAGTGGGCTTCAAAGGGCGCCTGAGTTCGATTCAGGCAAAACCAAATGAGAAATCCTTGGCGAAATGTTCAAGCACGGACGATGTGGATCGTGTGATATTATTTTGTGTGAACATAGATTAATCGTCTTTTACAGAGTATCCCAGCTTTGCATTGACGGAGCACATTCGTCTGGGCCTAGGCCTCGGTTGATGGCGCATCAGGCGTATCATTACTAACCAGGGCAAATTTTGTTTTGCCAAGCAGAACTGGATAGAAATGGCGCGGAAGACTGGGTACGTATCAGGAAGATAGCGGGTCACACACCCATGACCACGAGCCCTGTCTATCGAGAAGGTCCTGGGCTTGTCTAGGCTCGATCTAAATCCAGGCGCTCGGGTTTAATCAGGCCGGAGACAGCAAAGCGGTTCGCAGAGGAACCCTGTTCTCAAAAAGAACACACCTTCATGTGGGTGGCATCTTAGATGCAGGGGTTTCTCATGAGAACATGTATTCTGAGTTGAGATCGGAGCTCGACCGATGGCCGATCAGCGTTGAAAGTCCGAACCCGATTTTGATCAGCCATCAGATCACGAACGCAAAGCTGTGCTTGCCCCTCCGTGTATTACCACTGCCCATAGCGTCAGGAATCTGAGCGAGGCAGCATCGTTTTACGATCCAACCTCCTTCTCACGCCGATCACCGACACGTAACTCACATTTGCGGTGGCATGACCAACACTAGATGACGAGCGCGGGTAAATGACCTGCAAGGCTTGACAAAGCTGGGGCATCACTGAAATCTTCGAGGGTCGAGCCATAAGTACGGAGCGACATCCAATTGGCTGTCCATAATGTCTCTTCTCGATCGCCCCCCTCCGCCACGCACCAAATTGGGTGTATATCGGATTCTTTCGCCCAACGCGGGAGTCCATGTCTCTCCTCTGCAGCTGGGGGCTGGCAGCATCGGCGACCAGTGGCACAAACTCGGAATGGGTGCGATGGATAAAGCGTCAAGCTTCAAACTCCTAGACGCGTATTTTGATGCCGGTGGTAACTTCATTGACACTGCGAACGCATAGTCAGTCTGACGTCGCGCCCGAATCGAGATTGGCTGAACACCCTTCGCAGTCAAGACGAGACGTCAGAGATGTTCATTGGGGAGTGGATGGAGCAGCGGGGTATCCGGGACCAGATCATTCTCTCCACGAAGGTGCGGCGGCCGTCCCAGAAGCCCTTATCGCTTAATTAAACTGCCAACTAGTTTTCGACGAATTACAAAGCCCGCCGAAACGTCGCGCTCGAGGTCAACTATGCTGGGAGCAACCGAAAGTCGATGACGCTGAGCGTGGAGGCCAGCCTCAAGAAGCTCCGCACGTCGTACATCGACATCCTCTATGTACACTTTTGGGATTGGGACACAAGCTTCCGCGAATTGATGGATGGGCTGCACAATCTCGTCGCGCTGGGAAAGGTCTTATATCTCGGCATCTCGAATGCCCCGGCCTGGGTCGTATCGCAGGCCAACCAGTATGCGTTGGACCACGGCAGGTCGCCATTCGTCATCTACCAGGGCGCATGGAACGTCATGGACCGGTCGTTCGAGCGCGAGATCATCCCCATGGCCCGTGCAAATGGTGCGTGCGCTCGTTTTGAAAGTACTCGCTGCTTTATCTGAGTGCAGGCCAGGCATGGCACTCGCGCCCTGGAACGTTTTAGCACAGGGCAAGTTCCGCACGGACGCTGAGGAGGAAGCTCGGCGCGTTTCCGGAGAGAAGGGGCGCATGCTGTTCAGCGCCGACTGGGAACGAAACGAGGACGAGAAGAAGATCTCACACGCACTTGAGAAAGTCGCGGGGGAGATTGGGGCCAAGAACATCACCTCCGGTGCGTCTTTTTTTATTTATCCATTCATTTGATCTCAATGAAAGCACACGAACAGTCGCAATCGCTTACCTGATGCACAAAGTGCCGTACTGTTTCCCTATCATCGGAGGGAGGAAAGTCGAACATCTGATGTCCAACATCGAGGCTCTCGAATTATCGCTCTCGCCGGAACAGATAAAGTTCCTGGAGGATGTTCTGACCTTTGATCCTGGCTTCCCTGCAACCAAGATTGTAGGCTGCTCAATTTTTTACTTGGGGTGATGCTGACGCAATGCACAGGGCGATGGCACTGCACCCACCCCCGATTTGCTTACAGCTGGATATTTCGACCACGTGCCCCTTCAACGGACAATTCCTCACACGAAGAACTGAGCAGGCTGGGGCGCAGACCAGTGGAATAGAATACTTCAATTCACCGCCAGATTAGACAACGATTCGTAACACTTGCCGCGAAGCGAACCTCTCCTCGGAGGTGCTCCCGCCAAACTAGACCGAATATCCAGGATGTTCAGGCTCCAGCAATTTTCCTTTCAATTCATGAGAATGTTCCAAACTTGCGGAGGGGAAAAACACTAAATCAAGAAAACATCGTTGACATTTTCTTATTCAGACTGACTGCTTACGGTGGCACATGAACCCGGTCCATATGCATCTGATGAGTTAGATTGAATATCAGCAACGGATAAGTTCACTTCCCTCTGCCTCATTATGGATGCCTTTGGGACCCCGTCCTGTATTATCTCCAAAATAGCAATGCCATCAGGTCAGCAATAGTGCCATTTTCATGATAAATTTTCCAATATCATGCCCAACTACACGTCACTAAGCCGTACATAAGGCGCGATACAGTCCAGTATGATGAAACAGCCTATGAGATGGGATATTTACTATATCACTTCTCAAATAAATGCGAAATGTCCTTTGTAAATTGTTCGAAAGAATGGTCCAGGCTGAATGAATGCTCCAGAATCAGTAGTACTCCTGTTCATTTCTAGCATTGATGAGGTGGCATTTTCCGAATGTGCAGGCATGAAGGTCTGAATTTATTTTTAATCACCCATACTGAATACAAGCTTTACTCTCACCGACACTTTTCGAAGGCTCTCCAGCGCCTTCGAAATGATTCTGGGAAACATATGCGCACTTGCTGAGTATCTCCAGCTCCCGCCCGAGCGAACAGAGGCGATGTGCGACCAAAAATAATATTGTTGCGCAAGGTTCGAACTCTGGTCCTCAAAACATCGGCCGATCTCTTAGGGTCTGTTCGGCTGCCAGGGATTTAGCGTAGCGTAAGAGCAGCGTAGGATTTCGGAAGGATTAGCGCTAGATTTTGATCACCCGGCTTTTGCAGCGCTTCCGGCGTGACATCCATTTTGGGAAGGCGCTGCTCCGTAGAACTGCACTGCTGCTCTGACGCGTTGCGACGTATCCTGTAAGCCCGTCCAGTAGAGTATTTGTCTCATCATCGGTCCAAGATGCACGTGTGCCAGTAGATGCGGTTTCTTCCTTTTTATCCACAGCTTGGTCTTCATCTGGTCCAGAGCTTCCTCGAGGTGCGTCGCGCGCGTCGCGTTTGGCCATGGAAGGATCTGGAGGTGCCGTGGAAAGTCACATCAGTCACTTGCTTACAAAATGCACAGGGGAGCCGGGCGATCAAAATCTAGCGCTAATCCTTCCGAAATCCTACGCTGCTCTTACGCTACGCTAAATCCCTGGCAGCCGAACAGACCCTTAACAGAAGGGCCAGAAGGCCTAGGTCGGAGAGAAGTGGCATCAGATGGAATTCGGTGCTTGCGGCGTTCCGACGCCGCTTCAGCCCAGTCTTGAACTTTTAAGCGTCCCCAGCGATATCGATGTAGGCCGTTAAAGGACTGGTCCGACTGGACTAACGCTGTGCTTGACTGTATGAGACGGGATACGAACCGCGCATGGCGTGAACAATGCATACGATCCAGCGCCTTTCTTTTCCGAAGTTCAAGCTCGTTTATTCGGGCCGCCGGTGTCACAGAACCACGATTTCAGGGCCAAATGACCACCTATGGCTGACGAAGGCACGCGAATGCACCAAAGACACGCAACGCATCGGCAGGAACGTGGAATCCGCGAGGCTCAATCCAGGAGTACTTATAGGGAAATGGGCAGCAGCGGAAATACTCACCATGTCTCTCCTCGATCGCCCCCCTGCGCCTCCCACCAAACTCGGTGTATATCGGATTCTTTCGCCCAACGCGGGAGTCCATGTCTCTCCGCTGCAGCTTGGGGCGGGCAGCATCGGCGACCAGTGGCACAAGCTGGGGATGGGCGCGATGGACAAAACGGATAGCTTCAAGCTTCTCGACGCGTATTTCGACGCAGGCGGTAATTTCATTGACACTGCCAACGGATAGTAAGTGTGATATTCTAGTTCAAGTTCGGCATCGGCTAAGCACCGTTCGCAGTCAGGACGAGACATCTGAGATGTTCATCGGCGAGTGGATGGAGCAGCGGGGGATCCGGGACCAGATCGTCCTTTCGACCAAGGTGTGCTCCGCCGCATACAACATTTTCTTGAAATAAACTTCAGTAATCAGTTCACGATGAACTTCAAAGCCCGCCAGAATGTTCAGCACCAGGTCAACTACGCCGGGAACAACCGAAAGTCGATGACGCTCAGTGTCGAGGCCAGCCTCAAGAAACTCCGCACGTCGTACATCGACATCTTGTATGTCCACTTCTGGGACTGGGACACGAGCATCCGCGAATTGATGGACGGGCTGCACAATCTCGTCGCGCTTGGAAAGGTTCTGTATCTCGGCATCTCGGACACCCCGGCGTGGGTGGTCGCACAAGCCAATCAGTACGCACTCGACCACGGAAAGTCGCCCTTCGCCATCTACCAGGGCTGCTGGAACGTTCTGGACCGGTCATTGGAACGCGAGGTCATCCCCATGGTCCGTGCACATGGTCCGTACGCTCTTCGTTCATGGATTTCTGTCGTCCTGTGCGTTTCCTGACGGTGATCCAGGCATGGCGCTAGCGCCCTGGAACGTTCTAGCCCAGGGAAAGTTCCGCACGGATGCCGAAGAGGAAGCCCGGCGTGTGTCCGGGGAGAAAGGACGCATGTTATTCAGCGCCGACTGGGAACGAAACGAGGACGAGAAGAAGATCTCACACGCACTGGAAAAAGTAGCTGGGGAGATCGGGGCTAAAAGCATCACTTCCGGTGAGACTTGATTTTTTCTGACTCGAATTCACCCGATTTGATGCAGAGTGTGAGAGCAGTTGCGATTGCATACCTGATGCACAAGGTGCCGTACTGCTTCCCAATCATCGGGGGGAGGAAAGTAGAACATCTCATGTCGAATATTGAGGCCCTCGAGGTCTCACTCTCCCCGGAACAAATCAAATTCTTGGAGGGTGTTCTGAAGTTCGACCCTGGCTTCCCAGCAACCATGATCGTGCGCTTATCACCTTCATATTCTCAGGACCGTGTGCTGATCCAGGCTCTGATTTTAGGGAAATGGCATTACACCCACACCGTTTTTGGAAACAGCCGGGCACTATGACCGGGTCCCCGTTCAGCAGACGATTCCTCATACGAAACAATGAGCGGAGAGGGACGGAACGGTCGAGTGAAAACCCCAGGGACGGAAGCGTAGGTCGCAATGTATTTGGAGTTCTCAGGACTCAATGGAAGCGTGCCGTAAAATTGAAGCCACTGGCTGTTCTTTACTCTGTTAGAGAAACTCGTGACTGGCCACCCGGATGCCGCGCCTTGGCTTCCTCGGCCGGGTGCATCCCGTGGCTCCAGCCATGTGTATTGAGCCTTGACTCCAGCTTACTCGAGCGCTTTTATCAAGCATAATTTCTGTGCGCGAGCCGTGTCTGCTGACCTGCCAACATCAAAGGTCGGGAGCTAATGATTCGGCACGAGCCTTTTGCGAACCTGCGGAATGTTCATTCATTTTGTGTTTCAATTTCTGTGCCATCTTGTCTCTCACCTTGTCCTCCGAGGATCGAGCACCGCGGATTTCTCAAGCGTGACCATGCCCTCGATCCCAGGGTATATGATGTTGAGCATGATCAGCGGCTGTACACGGACACTGCCACCCATCATCAGCGGCCGCGGCGCATCCACCGACATCAGGATTAAGCTCATCGGCCGCGGTTTTCTGGCGATTTCTCCGCCATTTCACATTACTTACAGAATATTCCAGAGCCATCGCTTATGGTAGTATATAAGTACAGGACTGTAGATACGAGAATAAGAATATATCACCCCCTCCATAGCTCATTTCGAGGAGTCCTTGACTCCGGCCTCACATCGTTTACCTCATCGATCCAGTATTCCGCGGTCCAGACAGACGCCGCAGGAGTCCTCTCGCTCATTTCTCCACATTCCCAGCCTCACCTGAACCTTGGTTTGGACACCTCGCATCAATACATCACTACACGGCGTACCCGGAGCGGGGCCCGCCCATTCGACATCCTGTCCTCGTTCTCCCGTTCTTGGGTCCTCGCTTAGACGTCGCCCGTGCACATCATATTTTGGAGCCCACCGCGAGGGGTCTAAATCACCATTGATTCAGGCCGTAGCCTTCGTCCTCGCCGTACTTCGTTACAAGATCACCTTGGACACCCCACTTTTGTACCTCGAGAGGTACCTTTTTGAGGCCCAAAAAAGGTACCTCAGTGGTAGTGGGCGGCCGTGGGCTGGGCGGCAGCCGGGCGCCCCCCAATGCTCTGGGGGGCCCCAGCTACATTTTTGTGGGCGTCCAGCGGGCGTCCTTGGGCGGGCATGTGGGCGGGCCCATGGCTCCTGGGGTCCTTGTAGCGCGCGCAGCGCCAGAAAAATTTCCGTTTTTTGACCTATTTGGGAAGTTAAAGTCAAGTATATATTTGCAATCTATTCAATAATACGGGCGTACAACGTACATAGGAGCTAAATTTATCCTTTGCAGTCTATTCAATAATACGGGTGAGTGTATGCAATAATATTGATTTGACGCACACAAAAATCCTTGTTGCTTTTGTCATGGGATATATAAAATCACCATTGAATGTACATAAGGGCTGTTTGAAACACTTGGAAGACACTCCTGTCAAGAATATATGGGGCCGCTTTCTCATGGGCTTATGAGTGACTTCAATCATATGCATCCACAACATTTTATGCGGTAGATATCATCATATCTGTTTTGATCGAATGTTGATTTCTTCTTATGGACATAAGGTGATTCCCAGCGGACCACCACATGTGACCTGCTCGAAACCCGGGAAAGTGTGGGCCCGCCCATAGAATAACGGGCCCGCCCATAGAATAACGGGCCCGCCCAAATAAACGTGGGGCGCCCACAGAATTACGGGGCCGCCCAAATAAGTATGGGGGCGCCCAGAAAAGTATGGGGCCGCCCACAGACGCCAAGAGAACTATGGGCCCGCCCGCAGACGCCAAGAGAACTATGGGCCCGCCCACGGATGCCAAGAGAACCATGGGCCCGCCCGCAGACGCCAAGAGAACTATGGGCCCGCCCACGGATGCCAAGAGAACTATGGGGCCGCCCACCCGTACACGCGTATTAAAGTGATACCAAATGTTCCCGTGTATCAAACCTTGATTGGCGCACTAGGTCACAAACCTCTTTTGCCCACTTGAGATTCTACGCTACGTTGATGCACAGCAGGGACCCACAAGAGTTTTACATTTGCAAACACGAGTAATTAAAAATGCTCGGGCTGTGCAGCCGTGCAATGAGTGCGTGCCCACCATTTCAGCGATCATTACGGACGATTGGACTCGGTATTATAGACGGTGCAAAGTAAATACGCTTTTCTCTAGTTGTTGACGACGGCCAGCTGATGGATACTCGTATCATAGGACGACTGGCTGGGCTCTTTGTTCATGACACCGTCTCCCTCCACATTGACGTCAACATCACTGCCAACGAAGCCAATATCCGGAGGTAGCAACCCTTTGGGCAAGTCAAGATCTGTAATGTATGAGAACTCGCAGTAAGTTTCCTGATGTAGGCAGATCAACCCACCAGGGAATTGTTGTACGAGGCGCTCGAGCTTGTCTAACACCTGCCACAGTAGATGAAATTTGACCTTGTCTGAATGCTCCCTAAGCCTTCTGAGCACGTCGATCACTTTGCGGCACTCCGCTTCGTGGTAGTTACGGCGGCGAATCTCTTCCTGAGTACTGTAAGCTGGATCCCGAAAGTCTTGGGGCCCCAGATCTTTGCGAAACGATTCCTTGTACCATAACATCATTAGATCATGGATGGCGATGCGTAGGTCCGCGCGCGAGATGGGTAGGTAGAATACGTCAGGAAAGCTTTCGTCTTTTATCACTCGGTTCCTCGCTAGACAAGGATCCAAATTAGCATGCCACTTGGTCTATGAGACGGCGGCAACATACTCGCGTGCAGGGGGCAGTTGCTGTTTGAGAGATCGATGGCGCCGTCTATTGCACATTGGCACTGGAATGAGGTGCTCAGCGTGGAATCTTCAATTATAGACTAATCATTCCGCAGACCTTACTGATGTGCTTGTCCCCTTGAAGTTCCGCCTCATCACAGCCTTTACAAAGACTCGATGATGATTCGAAGGAATCACCCACGACCCGATACTCTGCCCCATACCATCTCGGAATACGCAGGCGGCATTGAACACAATTCATCCAAAGGTGCCTAGGTGAGAAGGTGCGATACTGCGCCATGGAGATAAGTTGATACTGCTGGACCGAGCAGCCCTGAATCTCTCTACGACGTTCGCAACCATCAGCGACGAGCTGGACATGGACCCGCAGCTTTCGTGGGCGATCGGCCAGCGCTGTGTTTCGTGGTGTCGTCGTTTTGACGAAACCGAGGGCATTTCGCCCTCCCGCGATGCGGGTAGAAGATCTTGCTTTGGTCGGCGACGTGGGGGCTCGCATAACGGAGGCTCGGGCACAGTGAGGGAGGGTGAAGACATTTGACCAGCTTTGCGACAAGTTTTATGACTGCTGAAAAAGTACGTCAATCTCGATTCAACTGACGCGGATGTACATCACCAAGCGGCCGATTTCACATATTCCATGACCCCAAGGAGATAGCCAATGGTTACCTCAGACATGTTTAGTTCTGTGGGTTCATAGATTAGCCTAGACACGTGCTCTGCATAAGTAATATACAAAGGGGATATACAGGCGACGCAAAATGCACATGGCCATATGGATGATCCGATTCGTAGTGCAAAAAGGGGATAGTTTGTAGTTCCGTAAGGAGCATGTGTCTAAAGTCATTCGCGATTATCCATATGTGCTTAGATACCATGAAGCTCTCGCCAATCACCGGCACGCTCGAAAGCGTCCAATTCGTCGTAGGGAAAGTACTCCGTGTCAGTCCCAGAGTCGCTGTCTGATGCGCTGTCCTCTTGATGTGATGACCAATCACTCTCCTTCCAGCTGCCAACCGTTGTTCGGGCAAACATATCATCGATGCGGACTTGAAGAAGATCTTCATCGGACGGGCCCCATGCTGGTAACCCGACTGTGGGATACGGCACCTGACGTAGTGGTTTCTCCCATGCGGCAGTCAATTTCGTCAATTCGGACTTGCGAAGCTCGAACTGATAGACAATCCCGGCTTCACCTGTAAAGAGATAAGGTCAAACGGAGTGAAGCACAGTCTGAAGCCGACTAGCATGTACCGTCTTCTGCAGCCAACTTGATTCCGCGCGTCAGCACTTCCCATTTCTCGGCCATCCACCAGCGCAAAGCGCGACACTCATGGAACAAGCGCGGCTCCTCCTCGTTACAGCGGTCCTGCTCCAGCATGGCCTGGATTCCCTGACGAACTGCGTCACTTTTCATCCATAGTGGCGGCTCCGTGTCTTCATCTGCGTCCGTTAGGCCAACGTCAAGCCAGATTTCGGCATCAACATCCAAGCCCCATATGTCCTTCTCAACGATTTGTCTAGGTGCAATTGCATTGCGTGGGGCACGACCGAGACGAATGAGCTCCTGCAACTCCGTGCAAAGTCTATTGTACAACCGGCATACATCTTTGATGCTTCGGTCACGGCGTCGCACGGCGTCCTCGATGTGAGTCGTCATTTTGGCATCTCAAGCGATTTCAGAGCTTTGCCGTGGGCCCACAAAGAGATACGTACCTGCTTTGTTTCGATGGAAGTGCCGCTCCACTCTGTCAAGCTCGAACTTCCTCTGGCGCAAGCGATTGCGCAACTTTGTTTTTGCGGCGGCGGCATTGGTGCGTGCCTGAATGTACTTGCTCTTCACTAGCTTGGATAAGTTTGCCTTGTCTTCGACGCCCATGATTGCCTTCTGCTTGCGAACTGATTCCGCAAGTTTCAGGAGCTTTGCGTCGGCTTTTGCGTACTCCTGGACAGCGAAGTCAACATATACCGGATCGGCGTCCTCCTTGTAGATGGCGTCATTCCACTGCGACATTTGGTTCTTCAGCCTATCCATTGCCGCCGTCTTCCGTAGTACATCTTGTATGGCGATTTTCCCCGCATGCTTCGATTGACCTGCAATTATGATGAGATTAGACACGGGGAGCGATCGACACGTACGAGGTAATGGCTGGGATAACGTTGCCACCTGTTTGGTCTGCTCTGCGCGAAGAACTGATACAGAGTGCGGGCATTCAGCCAGAACAGCAATTGCGTGCTGTCTGTGGCGACAGCAATCAGTGTAGCGTCGGGCTAGCCAGCTCCCTAATCTGAATAAGTTGCCCTTGTGCATGTGTACAATCTGCGCATCCAGCGTGTAGCGGCGCTTATGATACTGAATATAGATCAGCTAGCATCAACCGATGGAGGGGCAAACACGTACACCACACACACGAAGAAATGAGACGAGATGGCTGAGGGAGTGCCAAAACCGTTCTAGACCCTCCCCATCTGAATAACCGAAAAGAGTGCGGCGTCTTGGGTGATACACTGCTTGGCACGCAGCTCCATGACCGTACGAATGCAGGACGGAAACGGCCCACTCCAGTCTGGCCATGTATTCTGGAGGCAAGAACTCGTATTTGACTGCAGATCGCTGTAACTGGCAGGCAATGTCGTACAGGAAGCCAACGGCAAAATCAGTCGGCAGGTGCTGGAACAGAGCTTCAAGTAGTGCAAACATGTAGAACTGCCGCTCACCGGGCGTCTTAATGTTTGCTAGAAAAAGCAGGTTATCGTGACGACACGACAAGCCCATCAGTCCTTTATCATCAAAGAAATGGGAACTGGTCTTCGCTCTGGTCTCATCTGCTGCAGCAAAGGACCTTTCACACTCATTAAGCACAGATCGAGGCAGTGGGATGCTTGGTGCTTCGATCACATCGTCATCATCCACTTCTGATGTCGGTGCAGCAGCTGTGTCCGGGGCGGAACGAGGAGGACGTATTCCTTCGACCCAGTCAGCCATCTTCTGCGTCGCTTGGTCGGACAAGAAAGACGACTTGGGATGCATGCGCTCCGGATCTCGACAGCCTCGGTCCTTGTTCCGTTTCTGCGTGAAGCATGCGTCTCCGCAAACAATGCAATCAAGAGCTACCCGCATGTCCTCCCATTTGCCGCCGAAGCAGGCGGGACATCGGCTCCGGAGGTATTCACTTGGTCGCGGGCGATCCTCGGGCGATGTGAATGGATAGGTGTGACGTGATGACTCGGCCACAGGCGATGACGGCTCGGGAGAAGATGCTGGTGGGGCACTAGGCGATGAATGCAGCGAATGTTTTACCGGAGATGACGAAGACGGCAACGAGGATCGCGTCGGAGATGATGGTTGCGCTGCTCGAGCGCGTTTAGTTGGAGAAGACGGCGGAGAGGAGTCCCATTCCCTGCGGCCTCTCTTGCGCGGAGATTCCTGCACAGAGGTTCGTGCGATCACCGGACCTGGTGTGGTTGGGCGTTCATGGTTGTCGTCCTCATTCTGGATCCTCTGCCGCACAGTGGCGAGGATGTTGTCAATGGCCTGATCTGTGCTATGGCGCAGCATAACATAGTAC